TGCCATGTGACAGAGGTGGAGATTAAAATGTTGCAGCTGCAAACCAAGGAATGACTGGAGCTACCAAAAGCTGGAAGAGGCAAGGAAGGATCCTCCTTGTTTTTGGACCTCTTGCAGAACTGTGAGAGAACAAATTTCTGTTGTTTTAAGCCATCGAGTTTTAGGCATACTTTGTTACAGCAGCCCCAGGACACCAATAACAGATTCAAATGCAGATCTGCTGACTCCAAGGCTGGTGCTTTGTTTCCTCTCAAAACTCTGCTATCCTGATTAATTTCAATTCAGCTAGAATTTATAGCTATATTTAACATACAAGAAAAAGTTAAAGTCTGAGTAGAGAAATAATTTTTTGAATGGAACTTCCTTAGTAAATATTGAACAATCAATATACTCCTGTGCTTTCCATGTACACACTATATGGTTGCTGACGTTCATCATGAAGATTTTGTAGAACTTCATAAACACCCAAGATTTTATAAATATGTTCTGGTTTTAAGACAAGAAATGAGATTTCCAACTTTTAGAAAAAACGTCCTCAGCAAAAAACAAAAACAAAAACAAAAAACAACAAGAACAAAAAACACTAAAACGGTCTTATTCTACAGGTTGTCTTATTAACAATGGTGGTCACCAGAAGGGACTTCTAAATTTTTGTTTTAACTGACTCTGCTGTACCCTGGGGACTACAGAAACATTCTCAGCTATGGCATTAAATCCCAAGTCCCAAAGTAAATTCCCTCATGGATTCTTCTACTAGGCAAAGATGAATGAGCACAAAACACTGCTGACAAGGCAAAAGGCCTTCTTCACAGAAATCCAGCTGGACAGATCAGCTGACAGAAGAGGCACTGCCAACATCCACAATTAACACACCAAGAAAGTACCCCCCTCCCCAAAAAAAGCCCACAAAACTATGCCTAAAAGCAAAGAGAGCCATTAGTTCTTACACACAAGAAAGTCATTAAAAAGGTCATTTTTTTGGTAAGACTTGAATTATTCCAATATCTAAAGCCAACAGTACTCCTATTTAGGAGGGTAAAAAGCACTCACAACTAGCCATTGTTTCCTTTCAGACACTTAACTGATGTCAGACTTACTTAAAATTGGCCTTTACAAACAAAAACACAACAACTATTCTGCATCTTTAGCCATATCCTCCATAAACGAAACAGCCATGAAACAAAAGTTAATAGCCATCCTTAAACAACTACATAAATATATCAAAAAATTACAGAACGAGCAAAAATAATGGGGAGAGAACAGGATTAAGTGCAGAGAAAGGCTTAATTTCAATACTACAGTGTTGTCTACTAAATTAAAAGTATGATGAAGATAATTTTCTAAAAAGAGAATAATAGCCATCTTGAAGGTATTAGGTACTTGTTCGCTAGTAGGCACTAATGCAGCCCTTAGAGTAACCTAGATATAATGTAGAACACACAACATGTTGTTTGGTTGGAATGCCTCACTAAACGGCAAAAAGATAAACATATCTGGGAGGCTGAGGTACTTCCGAAAATACTAACTTGATTTAATAGTAAGTAGGCAAGACACCAGGGACTACAAGTTGTGTCCTTGGTTGGTAATGGCTTCCAAAACACTTTAAGGAGCAGGGAATGATTTCTGGCAACAGCTGTAGAACTAGGATTTGACTAAAAGATTTTATTTTGATGGGATTTCATTTTACATTTGAACTATCATTTACTTTATAATGTAGAAAGAGATGTCCTCTGCCTTAAAAATTTTTGAATCCAACTGAAAAAAAGAGAGCAAAATAATGAGAGATCAAAAGGAAATTCATTAAGAAAAATTATTTTGGTTCTAACAAGCACTGAATGGACAAAAATTAATCCAAGGGACTATCTAAGAACCATTAAAACCTAAAGCATGAGAAAAATCTCACCTGCTTCAAAGATAGTTCAACTTAAAATTATTGCAAATATTCTATCATGAAGTTAAAGGTATCTTCATTTCTCAAGTGACAGTCATCTCATATTTTAGATTACAGTAACAATTAGCCAACAAATTAAACCAATTTTGAACACTAGTATGAATTATTACAATGGTTATAAGTAAAAAGAGAGATCAATGAAGAACAGAGTAAGTTACACAACGGAAAAGTTAAATTTTTTAACCAGACTCACTTGTTTGACAAATAATATTCAAAAATATTATGTGACAGATACTGTTCTAGGAACCAGGGACACAGAAATAAACAAGCCAAACTGCTGCCTGCCTCTAAGAGGCTTACGATCTAGTATAGGTATCTCCTGCTAGATGGATATATGGATGCATGAAAGACAGACAGACAGACAGTTATCAGGTAGTGATATGTTCTATAAAGAAAAATAATGCAGGATAAGGAAAAGAACTTCAGATCTCAGAAGGTCTGGAAAGGAACTGGAGATGAATAAAGAATGAGTAAAGAGTAAATTCATTTTATGATAGATGAAGGACTCCTGGAAAAGACAAATATTAGCAGAACACTGGATACTTATCAAGAATTGTAGAAGGCATGGAAACTAAAGAACCTGAATATTCTGTTTACTCGTTATTATCCTTAAAAACAGGGAGACTTTGTGAGGTAGTTTTTAAGACAAAAAGAAAGCTGAGCAGATGTCTTAAATGTTCAGTTATATTTAGATTCACCTCCTAAGATTTTTGAATATAGAAATAAGAAGTTACGAATACTGCCTATAGAAGATCATTTCAGTATCTACAAAATGGATTAAATTAGAAAGGTGAGGAACACAGGGAGACTGTTGTAAAACAAACATACGATAAAAGGTTCGAATCTGACTGAAGGCTGTAGAACAAAAGAAGGATGGCTCTAAAGATGACAGAGAAATAATTAGTGAGACTAGGTGATCAGACTCATGGAGAACAAAGGGGGAAAGGAATTAGAAGTAACATTAAAAGATTTAAGATTCTGACTTTCTACTGATTCAAATGATTGTGTGAGCAGACAAAAGCCTCTTTGAGCTACTTCACATGTTTTCTTTCTAGTTATCAATGTGATTCCTTCATGTGCTTTTTTCAATCAGTAATATTTAGTTAAGCACTCACTTCAAATTTGACTTCTCAACTAGAAATTTATTACCCTAACATTCTCATTCTATTCTCATCTGGCACAAGGTAATTAGGAAAAGGCATTTCTGTCACAGTCTCTTTTCATGCACTTTTTTGGTGTTTCAGTGAAAGAGTTATATGGATTTTAGAAGGCAACAGGATACAAAACCTGGGTTAAGCATAGATGCTAAAGGGTTAGAAATGTTTTTTAAGGTAGAGTTTTACTGAGATTTTTTAAAAACCATATTAAAAAGAAAAAAGCAAAACTAATATAAAACGTTTCAAGGTTGAAAGTTGTATTCAGAACTGTAGAGGATGTTCTTAACAACTGTAGTAGTTATGTCCTGAATGTGTAAATATAGTTTATAATCTAGCAGGAAACCCAAGGAATTTGCAGAGTGGTTCTAACAAAAAGAAGAGAGTGCTACCATAATGACCATATGAGCTCAGTCCCATTAGCAGAGAGGTAGTATGGTACCAATGAGCACTGAGCCAGGATCAGGGATTCCTAGGGATAAGTTGTATTTCACCAGTTATTTAGTTAAAGAACCATTCTGAGTCTCAGCTTTATCTATAAAATAGGGTGGTGATACTAGGCTTATGTACTTTAAAGATGATTTTGAGAATAAGGTGAGATAATGTATGTGAAAGTTCTTGGAAACTGTCAAGGCAGTATCCAAGCTTAAGGTAACAATATACTCTGTTTCTTAGACAGGAGCTTGTAAGACACAGCCCAGACTGGGTGCAGGGTTTAGTCACACATTGGGGGGAAAAAATTTCTATAGTCAGCAGTTCCTTGTAAATTTATTGCTCTGGACTACATCTTTTATTCTTAAAATACATTTAAGTTCTTAGCACTTTAGTCTCTTAAAGCAAAAAACAAAACAAAACTAACTTTAAAAAATAAATGATATAGGTCTGAAGTTAAAACCATGAATAACAAAGAAAAAACTAAAGGACATAAGGAAGCCATATAATCTCAAGAAAACATCTATATCAATAGTTAGGAAAATCAACATTTTAAAAGATTATCAAAATCTAGTATGTTTCTTATTTAAAACTAACACTAGTAGAAGAGAGAAGAGAAAGAAAACTATAAATACCCATAACCCATTTTATAAAAACAAATGCATAAAAATTAACTTATAAGAGTAATGACTGTGTCAATTACCCACACTCCCAGTTATCTTCATTTTAAATACTTAACTGATAAAGGTCAGGAGGAAAAGGTCATTAACATGAATGAGGGGGAAAAAAAGAGGCATCTGGGCAAATAGATAAATTGCAAAGAACATGGATTTTACCTCTTACTCTGAACTAAATTCACAATCTACTCAGTTACTGGTACTACCTAAAATGCCAATTTATTAAAAAGAGTTCAATATTCAAAAAGGCTGAAAAATGAGGATTTCCTGTGTTTCATTAATCTGTGAAATATATAGAGAGTAGCTTCAAACTGGATCAATGCAAACTAATTTTGGCAATGTAAGTAACACTATATGCATTGGCAAATGTAATACTACATGCATTCAAGTGGGAATGGAATAACAAGTCCATTACCAAATGCACTGGCACTCCAAATGCCAAGGCACTGGAGCTCTGAGTTCAAGGTTTCTAGAGTTCACAAAGGAGATCACACCAGAATCATGAACAAAGTAGGTTCCTTAACCTCAGAAAAACCGTCCTGTGGATCCACCAGCTGTAAGTAATGAAGACTTTTCCATCTTTAATATTTGTAATCTGCTTGTCTTTTCCTCCCAAATAATCATTACCAAAAGCTTACATGAGAAAGATATGAATCAAATAACATCTGCTATGAAGGGGGGAAATGCTGATAACTCATTTCTCAAGTTGTATAAAAGGATTTTTCTAGCAACTGTGTTCCTTCCACATCAAGCACATTACAACAGTTATATGTAGCACATTAATACCTGTGCTCCTGATACAGGGCCAAAGGGGTTTGGTGGTCTCATGACAGGCTGGCTGTATATTAAGGTTGGTTGTGTCATTACAGGTACACTTCCCATTTGAGGTGGCTAAAAAATAGAAAAATACCAAGTTAAAAAATGTCGACTCACTTTATACATAAGTAAACAAGAAGGATGAAAGGGATGAAAACTATTATTACTTTTGCTTTAACTCAAAGGGAAAATGCCTGTAAATGCAAATACATCTGACAGCTACTAATTTTTAAGAGTATTTATTTTGGTATGGAAAGTTTTTAATGTGCTCATTTTTAAAGTTTGTATAAAAGTTTAACTTTTTCTATACAATGAGTTGCAAAATTTAAGCCTTACTACAGTACAGCAGACAAAATAATTTAGACCAAGAAATTTCAAATTTGGCAACTTTGGATATAGGGAAACTCAAAACTATAAAATGACTAAGGCATTTCAAAGTAATATATACCAAATCAAGTTCTTGTGCCATCATGCAAGTGATCACAAGTAATCAATCACAAGTGAGCACAGCTGATTCTGAAGAGATCTACTCTCTGTGGTTTGTTCATTTTATTTCAGACACCACTTTAAAGGAGAACCAAGAAGAGGCTTAAATTTACAAAGAGGTAGTTCAAAGTTCAGTAATTGAAAATCGAATCTCAACTGATCATCTCTTGCTTTAAAAATTACCACTTCATGATAATAAAATCAATATAATCTGTGACAAAATAGAGCACATAAAACCTGCTACATTATTCTGTTTAAAATGCAATATAAAATCTTATCTTTCCATAAGTTCTATTTTTAACCTTTCAAGTAGATTCATCTGCATGGAGAACTTCAGCTTAACTTTATCGTCTGAGTTTTTGTGCAGACTCCTTTCTTAGGCAAAAACTACCAACCCAAAAGCTGTGAAATTTCTTTTTATGTAGGAAAATAGCTACTCCCATAAGATGTAAACAAAGAAGTAGCAGAGAAGCCACTATAGTAATACCATGGGATATAGTGCTGTCTCCTATCAGCAACAGTTCCTCAAACATGGTACACGGGGTTGAAACCACTACCTCCGTTTCTTATCTAAGTGAGTCTATATGAAGATAGTTGGGAGTATAAGGGCAGTTTAGCATGTGGATTGTGGGCAGCTTAAATGTTAAAAGACTGTTTTTTGTATTGTACCAATCATTGTCATAGGACATTTTCCATGGCCTTTAACAGACTAAATTTACCTCTATACAATTCAAGAATTGTTAATTCCTCCCTTCCCCTACAGTATATCAAGGTTATAAGACCTTACTTGTTATAATGTAGGGTCACTGAAACAAAGACTTGGAGTTAACATTAATGTTTAAGTAAGTTTGTAATGAAGTATAAAATGCTTAGCAAAGTTATGAGGGGAAAATAAGCCAAGTAGTACTGTGAACATTAATAAATATCTGTTATATAATGACTATTCTAGAAATACTTATGAAACCAATGCTATGATACGAGGTTCTGTTAGACACTTAGGGTACATGTGACACTGTTCTTTTTTCAGTTAAGTGTGTAATAAAGGCATGTTAAATATGAATCAACCTAGTTTCAAAAAGGTGTGTCTAGAAAAATACTTACGATTCCATATCCTATCATGCCTGTTGGTGTAGTAGCAGGATAGGCCATTACAGGGGGTGCCTGAAACAGTGAAAGAGAAAATAAACAAGGAAGTATGAGTTCAAGAAATTTATAATTGTAGTCCCATAAAAGAATTGCTAAGACAGCTGTGATTAAATATGACACTTGTGATCATTAATAACTGTGTCAATTTGTCAACTATACTTTAATTTAAAAAGTCAATTCTCAGTGAAAGGTGTCTTACAATTAGAAAAGCAGAATGATTACAAAAAATAAATTGCATTTAAACTTAAACAGTGATCTAAAATTTCAACAGGCTTTTATAGCTTTAAAAATCTTTGAATTTTAAAAAATATTCAGAGCTCTAAAATTTAAAGTCCATCACTATCATAAAAAAAATGTTTGCCCAGAAAAAAATAGTATTACTGAATGTTTTCCTAGGCACTTCATTTTTTGAGCAAAGAAAAAAATTTAAAAATCCCAAATTAATTAACAATATGATCTTCCAAAAAATTAGTTTCTATGGACCTCATTCACTTTTTTCAAAGAACCTCAAATTTCAAACCACTACTGAGTATGACTATATGACGCACACAGTTCTTACACAGAGTACGTATATTAGTTCCTTCTAATTTATTCCATAAATTATTTAAATTTTTTTCTGCAAAGCAGCAATTTGAAGGAGCAAAAAAACTTAAGTCTGTTTATGCTTTAATGCTTAAAAGAACCAGCCACCACTAAGTGAAGTTCCCCTCCTCTTTCTACTTTAACTTATGCTCTGTAAATATACAATCTAAGCATGGAATCATTTTAGATATATTTGCTGTCTTAACAACATTCTCTGCGTGTTATCTTATAATGAAAACTGAAACTGAATACAGGTGAAAGACCAATAACACTGCTAAACATAAAAAGAAAAAAAAAAAACAGAAATTATATGGTAGTTGGAACATAAGCATGGGGAAGGTAAGTGAAGCATAAAGTGAATAGTTAAAAGTTTAGTATTTGGGTGAGCATGTAGGACTTACTGGTCTCTCCCTACTTAAAAATCAAGAGCTGCAAGAGCAGTAGACAAACTGCCAAGTACAGCAGAAGCCTGTAAAGTTTCATGCAATTGTTATTTTCAACATTACCACAATCAACATTTCCCTTCATTCAGAAGTCATCAAGTGCATAGTGGCAGCACAGATACACACACAGACACCCAGCCATCTGGCAGCAAATGGCAGAATATTAAGCAAGAAAAAAAATTTATATTTCCCATGCCACCATCAGAATCAATTCTGCAAAACGCCCATGAAATCAGTAGATGCTAGGAAGAATTTCTGGCACACTGAAAATCTGAATGTGAAAACAAGTAATAGCTGGAAGATTATGAGATTCTGCTAGAGCAGTGATTAATAGCATGCCAATTTATTGCAAAAAAGGCTAGTTTTTGGTCACTTACGTATTGTGGAAAATGCATGCCATTCTGTTTTTCCCAGGGAGAACAATTACATAATGCAATAACACTGGATTAGAACAAGTACTTACACAACAGAAAATACACAGAGAGCATTTTAGTTCACATGTACATTCACTAACTACCTAAAACCCCTTTTATTTCCAGTATTTAATGGAAGAACATCTATACTAAAACACTATCAAGGTTGACAAGGAAAACTTAGTCTTTTGCATTATCCCTTTACATACATAACAGTTTATTGATTACAAGTGTCATTAAAACATAAAATCCATCAGTAGTCTCAATAGTACAAAACTCAGTGCATCCCATGAACAAGGCTGCATCATATAACATCTACCACAGGAAAAAAGCAATCATAATTAAAAGAATTTGTAGTATAACGTCATTTATATTTTAATAAAATATCGATGAATTATTTTAAATAAAAATATTTTAAAACCTTGACAGTGTTTAAGGATTAATAAAAAGGTTAGATATGTAAAGAAATGTCAAAAGCAGCAGTTTACCTAAATTGTGAATCACATCACCAGCCCTAACTATTAGTTATTAAAAAGAAACTTTATGAAATACATACACATAAATATTTTAACAAAATCCTTAAGAGATGATATGCATTACCATATATAACATAGCACCATAAATATTGCTATCTTACCATCAACTTACATACAAATTCTAGATGGTTAGATGCCTATTACATTCTAGTAGCCAATATTAGGTAAAGTGCTATCTACAAATATTTCATACAGATTAATACTAAGTCAATACAAAATAAGAAAATGTTCATTGTACTTTCATATCAGTATCTGGATTTATATCATTCCTCATATAGTATCAATATATAATTCACACCAGAGGCTTTAAAATCCACTAACTTAACCTCTTGCCATTTCCTAGTCCGTGAGGTGTGTTACAATGGGGAAAAACACTGGATTCAGAGTCAGAAGAGGTAGACTTCAATATAAATTTGTTTTTAGTTGTTTTGCACTTGGAAAAAGATCACACAACTTCATCCATAGAATTGGGATGATACCTACTTAAGCTCCCTCAAGAGTGTACTATATACAGATTCAAGATAGTACATGCATGTGTGTGTGTTACCTAAACTATGTAAATGTAAGGTTTTATTATTAATGATAGTAGTGATCCCTATCAGTGGAAAATTACTGCCTTAAAAATGTAGTTAAATCAATATTATTTTCTATTTATGAAGACTGAAGCTAACAAAACTCTAGATACTGTCTCACAAAATTTTCTTCACACACCATTTTTAGTTCAGCCTTACTAATTTTAACATATGATTAACCTAAGAAAAATGGGGCAATGCTCTGGAAAGGAATTAATAACAAGAAAGGGGCTATAACAAAGATATTGAGAGGTCTCTAATAACAATAGGAAGGCTACAACGTATGGCTTGTATAATCAAAATGCTGCTATTAGCACAGTTACAATAAAGCATGTTTTGAATTTTTCCACAAGAAGAAACTGGTTTTCTCTAACCCAGGATGATTTATTGGGATGGTAAAACAGCAGCTGACCAAGGACAGTACAGCCATAAAGTTACTCTGGGATAATTATACCTTACATAATTAAAAACATTAATAGAACTTCTTCAGTATTAAATGCTAATTATTTAATTAGCATATACACTTAATCCTCATTATTCATGGATTCTGTATTTGCAAATTCACCTATTCCCTAAACTTTATTTGTAATCTGAAAATCAATGCTTGTAAGGCCTTCGAGGTCATTTACAAACATCATATAGAGTGATGAACAATTTGCCTCCCTATGCATTCGTTCCCAGCTGAGGTCAAATAAGGTAAGGCTCTGCTTTGTTTCAGCTCTGACAGAAAGATTATCAGAGGATGGAGAAGGTAGAGAACAGTGCAGTAGTAAGAAGCAAGAACCTCTGGCTCTGGGGCCAGGTGGATAGGGCTAGAATCTCCACTCTGGCACCAGTTACTGGGGTGGCTTCAGACAAGTCACTTAATACTCCTGAACCTCATTTTCTCTTTTGTAAAATAAAAAAATATATAATCTACTTGATTTTTTTTTTAGGATTTAAGATTATTATCAATATAAGATATTTATACATCTTACATGTTTATATATAAATTGTGTTTATACCCACACACAGTTGATTCTCCACTTGGAGCAGTTGTTTGCAGCACTTATGTTCTTAAAGTCACCCTAACAATGAATTAGTAAACACTGAACCATTGTTGAGAGAAATATGTATGTCTGTGTGAACCTAGCAATAGTTCAGTGCTCCAGTGACTTTAAGGACATAAGTACAGCAAATAAGGAGAATCGACTACATAAATCATATGACAATATTAATAAAAGCCAAGCAAATATAGTGTATCAATTGTGAGATCAAAAAAAAAATTAAAGACGTTATATTCTAGATAAATAAGTAATAAATTTGAGACCAACTGTAGAGAGCAGTGACAAAGAGCATATGCTCTGAGGTTAGGCTACCTGGGTTCTAAAAACCCACCCAATTACTTAAGAACTCTGTGATCCTGGACACATTACTCAACAACTTTATGTCTCCATTTCCTCACCTGTGAAATGGGGACAATAATAGTTACTACCACTTAAGGCTAATTTGAGGATTATATAAAATAAAGCCACATATTATTTATCAGAATAACGCCTGACACAACTAACCTTTAAAGAAATGTTAGCTACTAAAATGTACCTGCAAATATAGTCAGCAAAGCCTCCTTTAAACGAATACAAATTACTTACATTGCTAAAACTTAGTAACAATAACAATTTTTCCATTTAAGCTATCACTTTAAAAACATTTTTATGTTACACATTTACCTAAATTATTCACGTTAGTATATCATGAGCTTTTCTGACTTACCATTGTTGCAGCATTCCAAGCAGTTGTTGGTGCAACCTTTGGTTGCCAGTTAGATCCTCCAGTTAGCTTCTTTTCACCTGGCTGACTCCAATTTACATCACTTTAAATAAATATAAGTGAGAATATTAAATGTCTGTAATTATGAAGTTTCTTTAGTATATATTTAGATTGAACATAGCATTAAAGATGCAGATGACGTCTGTACAAATACTTTTGAGATGAAAGCCAAATGAACCTATAAGTGTTGGAAAAGAATACAAATAAAATGCTCACTTTTTAGTGGTTCCATTTCCAATGCCAAGGTCTAGAACAAGAGAAAAAGAAAGCAGTTAAAAACTAGACTCCTTTTTTAAAAAGTTTATTTTTAAAAAGATTAAAGAATTCAAAGAATACTTACTGCCCACAAGGTTGGCTAAGGATGAATCCAAGTCGTCGGATACTAACTTGTTAGGTGGGAGTTTGGCAACAGGAAGACTCTGGTTCTGAGAGGCCACTGTTGGTTTGAGAAGTCCACCTAGTTCATCAAAGCCTTAAAGTTACAAACAGACGAAATAGGATTTGTAAGGAATTTTATGGTGCTATAGCTAAAGGTGGTTTCTGCCTTTTTACCTTGTTTACCGGGAAAGTCCTCCAAAAAAAATGGGCACTAACCATGCTCTTAAATGGAAGAAGAAGATATTCACTATTTTGAAGTGAACTGACTGAGAAGGCTGTATTTGCTTTGACAGAAATTATCTGACTTAGTTTATGACAAAATTACATTAAAGTTAAAGGAAATAAAGAATTCAAGCAAACTATTCTTATTCCAAAGTTGTAAGAGAAGGGAATGAAATGTAATTTTCCCCCTCATCCAACAAAATTTTCTTGACTCACTTATACCTAAAGCAACACAAGTAGAAAAAATACATCACTGTAACTTTGCAAAAAGTTTCTCAAGAAATATTTTATAGACCTCTTTATATCTTCAAAATGGAGAATGTAAGGTATATGTAAAATAGTACATTAAAAACAAATAAAAATGAACCCTTTTATTACCACTTTTGTTCTGTCTAAAACCAGCTAAACTATACATAAATTGCTAACCTACCCTCCAATTGCATGACACCATCTAGTTAACTAAGACACTGCTTGGAAATGAAATAAAATTCTTAAGGTTCTCTACCAAAGGGTAGAAGAATCAAACTGACCCACTTAGGCAGTGGTCCCCAATCTTTCTGGCACCAGGGACTGGTGCTCCTATGAGAATCTAATGCCTGATGATCTGAGGTGGAGCTGAGGTGATGCTAGTGCTGGGGAGCGGCAGCAAATACAGATGAAGGTTCCCTCACTCGCCCGCTGCTCACCTCCTGCTGTGCAGCCCAGTTCCTAACTGGCCACAGGCCAGTACTGGTACCAGTCCGTGGCCCAGGATTTGGGGAACCCTGCACTAAAGGACTAAATAGCATGATCCAGGAACACCAGAAAATTTGAAAAAGAAAGTCATTAAAAATGGCAGTTTACAAAATATGAACGATTGGTCTCTATTTCCTTTATCTTTTTTCCCCAGCAAGACAAACTCAAAAGGAAAAGCCAAATGCATCAAAAAATATAATTATAAACCTACTAGTGCACAGAAAATAATAAATTCTTAGTCTATACATATTCTTTATTAGCTTGCTTCTTACTTTTGGCTAACAACTAATTGTGTATTATAAAATTAGGAACTCTTCAATATACTTCTCTAAATGGCTTGAGTTTAATTACTAACCAAAGTCAAAGGCCATTCCATGGTAAGAATAGAATTGTCATTACAAACTTCCAATTAACAAGATATTAAATGGAAACATTTAAGTAGAAATCTGACTCTACAGACTTATAAAGTACTTTTAAGACAAATGAACAAGCATACTATAGGAATCATCCAGAAAATAATACAAAGCCCCTCTACCCAAAGCTCTGACACTTAGTACATTCTAGCTGTACACACACACACACGTACACACACACACACACACACACACACACACACACATCTCAACAAGTCAAGGTACCACAGGTTTTATTTTCCTAGTTATCAAAAAAGCCAATTTTCTTTCGGTAAAGGTAAAAATTTGACTAAAAATATGACTAAAAAGCTCAACATTCTACACACAGACACTAGTAACTTAGTAGTCTAATCTAAACAAAATCTCTTTTTTCCCGCTCTCTCTTCTTTGGCTCTGGGAGAAACAAAATCTTCCCAGAGCCAGAAATGGCACTAAGGAAGCATAATAGTTAATAGTCCCTTTAAGTTCTCATCCAGTGGTTGGGGGAGCAGGGACAACTCTTTGGCTATCCCAATTTAATCTGTTTATACATGTTAAGAGGAGCATTATTTCTCCTTACACAGAATCTAAATTATAATATTATAGTAATGTTAACAAAACAATTTTTCTTACCCCCAGAATCTACAATAACATTGGCAGATTTATTTCCAAACACAGATTCAAAGTCAACATTAAGGCCAGCTGAAGGATGTGGCTGTGCAACTGGAGAAGGAGTGAATCCTAAGAAAAACCAAAATGGAAAAAAAGCTCAAGTCTTTAATAAGTTTACATTTATAACTTATTAATAATGATAACAGAATGGAAAAAGCAATAAATTCCTACAACAAAAACAAAGCCAAATAAATTCCTACAACAAAAACAAAGCCAAACCCAAATGTTTCCTACATTACCAATTTTTTTTGTGGTGATTACATCTTCTACAACAAAATCATCCCACTGACAAAGAAAACTAACAAAATAGCAATTGAAGTTGAACTACTAGTATGTTTTGATACAGGGGGGAAAAAAATTGCTTTTTAAATTTTATCTTAATGTATGTTGATGATCTTTAAAAAACTGAACACATCTAAAATATACACAATGTAAGGGAATCATTTGGGATTGAAATAAGTAAGTCTATGGTGCTTTAAAAATATATGAGTCTACTTAGTATCCTAAGTCTTTCTCCTTCTATCTACTCACCTTCCATTTTCTCTCTCCTTCCTTCAATGGTTAATCAAAAGCTATATGGTTAAGTTCATTTGAGAAGTGACAGGATTCTGAAAGTTACAATTCACTAATCCTTATTTCCTTCTTTTGTCAAGGTGCTTTTTGAATAGCAAAGATAAAATACCATTTTCAACTCCCAACCACCTTCTAACTTCAATTTAACTAATTCCAACTATGGGGTTGACAACTATACAATCAAACATGCTAATTTACCTAACTCTAGTCTAAAATACCAGAACCTAAATAGGATACCTTATTCTTTCTTCTCAGTGTAACACCAATGCTAGTATTAAGCCAACAAACATCTAGCTCATGTCTCTGAAACCACATTAGGCTTGAGATAACAAATGTAATATTTTCGATTGTGCGGTTGGATTTTTGTGATGTGAAGTTCTGAATTTCTAGGGCTGAAAAAAATTAAAATCATCTAAAAATTTTAGGGCTGTCACATGACTTAGGCTCCTTTCAGATTAGTGAGTATATATCCAAGTAGAGAACAATTTAGCAAAGATCACAAAGAAGAAATTCTTTCACTTTGTTGAAGGCTATAATAAATGGTTCCTAAGTTCTCTTCATCTCTAAATCCTACCAACTTGGAATGCAAGAAAAAGAAAAGAAAGAAAATCTGATATTAGAAGATTAACAACTATATCATTAGGGAGAAATTAAACTTTTAAGTCTTAAACACAGGTTCTCTCTCTTTCTCAACTTTCTGCTAAAGGACTCTCAGTCTGTTAGAATCTCGCTTTGAATTCTTAATGTACACCACCAAAATACAAAGAAGTACAACAATGTTGTACTAAAAAGACTGGTCTTAAAAAAAAACTAAAAATAAAAAGTAGGACAAGATTTGGTGAGAATTCCAAAAAGACCCTCAAAGATAGGCCAGAAAGCAATGACTTACTAAAAATGACTGATGTAAGCTAGTATATATCAATAACACTACTTTAAAAGTAGCATTTTTATATCATAGCATGCATATTCTGAAGGGCACAATTTTTTTTAAGAATGTATAGTCTGATCTTATTTTCATAAGTACTTAATTCACATATTCTCTACTCAAAAACACTGGTTATACAATGAAAGCACAAATACTATCAAAATACAATATAACTTAGTATATAAATCTGACCATTTGTCAAAAGGTTCCTAGAATCATACAGACTTATCGATTTAACAGCATTTTAAAGTAAACAAGCTGTTTAATAATTATGTCATGGGTTTACCAGTTTTTCTTGTAACTCCTCACAAAAAGAACAAATGTATATACTTAAGAAAGACAAAATTTATCATGCTTAAGTATGTGTCCATCTACCATTATAGTATAAGAAGTATACATATTGTTCTTTAAATCCTTCTGGAAACAATATCTTGGCTGATATCACTAAGCTTTAGAAAATACATGGAACTATAATTTATAACTAGGACAGTACATCAAATTCCTATTTTCTCCTGTTATTTTGTCCCAGCTTTCTAGAATTTGATTGCTATCAGAGATAAGCCTATCTTTTATAGTAATACAAAAACGCCACTATTACTTTCTGTAAAAAGAGAAGCCATCTTCTGAGGTTCCTAGAGGGACCAATCTGTAAAATTACAATATTATTACTTAAAAGTATAAAAGGTTTGAAAATATATAAAGTAATCCAGAGCTAGTTATCTCAAATTTAAAAAGCCTCTACATAGACACAGAAAATGGGGAAAATTTTAATAAACTTTAATAGTTGATTGGCTACCAGAGAAGCAAGCAGCATGTTTTCAAAGTAACAATTTTTAAAGTAATTAATAAGTGCTGGTAACACACACACCTTCAAGGTAAGAGTTCTGCATTATCATTTCAATGCACATTATCAACTTAATGGCTTTTTGTCCCTGGGTCACTTTTTTGGAGACTGTGAAGGACTGTCAAACTTTAATTTTTAAAAGTCACTTAAAACGAAGGTACAAAACTAATGTCACCATTTCAAAAGAAAATTTTAGGGACCAAAAAATAAAGATGAACAGACTCTTCAAGTTAAGGTTAACTTACTGAAATAATCACTACATTGACCTGCCTACTCTTTCATTTCACCAAGACCCAGTGAAAATTCTGTCACTGACCAGCACTGATTTATAGATAAACATTTAGAAATCACCATCTTGCAGGGTAAATCTCAAGAGGATGATAATAAATCAACTGAAAGATACAAAATGAATAGGCTTTAGGGACAGAAAGACATTCCTAACACCTTTAAGAAAAATTGGCTGGGTTGTCAATGGATTTTGGTGGTAGTTCCATAATAAATAAGGCCTCGTATTTTTTTTGATGATAACTGCTACTATTTATTAATTACTATTAAACACTATGCAAAGGCAATATAAACAAGGTAGGTATTACTTAAACCTCACAACAACCCTATGAAATAGTTATTATTATTTTCATTCTATAGATGAGGAAACTAAGAGATTAAACAACTGACCCAAGGTCAAAGATTTAGTAAGTGGTGGAACCAAGACTTAAATCCCAATTTGTTTTACTCTAGAATCTATTAGAGGTTTTTAGTTTATGTAAGTATCTTATCTTATATAAACCGGTCGGCAGAAAAATAAATTTTTATTATCATAGCTATTCAAGTTTTATAAACTTTATTATCATAACTATTCAAGTTTTATAAACTTCTTGAGCTTTTCACAGCAAATGCTGGTTAAAAAAGTGTACAACCCTTGGAAATTTTATAAAAGCAATATAAAAACAGTGCTCAAGATTGTACCTGATTAAATAATATATTAGGTAAGAAGTACATCCCAAGTATGAAATGTTCTACATATACAAAATGGTTTTTAGTAATAGTTTTAATGATAATTCTATGTGCCAAGGACAGTGCTAAATATTACAGTTATATATGTAAATTTCATGGCAATCCTTCTAGACATTATTACCTCAATTTTTATAAGCTTAGAAAGGTTAAATACTTGCTTAAAGTCATACAGGTTAGGGAGTAGAACTGGAATTCAAACTCAAGTTCACTGGATTCCAAACTTAATCTTTCCATCAAATGCTCTCATAAGTTCCAGTTTTAAATACTTTTAACAATGTCCACTTCTTATCACCAGTCAAGAACCTCAATTCTTTGTGTCAAACCAATTTTTAATGTCAGCTTAACTATGGTAATCAACTTTTATGAACACATGAAAAAAAAAAATCAGCTAGATTTTGAGGTTTTATTGCTAGTGCACTGGCCTAGAACATGTTTGGAAAGACAGAGATGAATATCGAATAGGCCATGCCTCCCTGGAAACTGCTTCCCATTTCTATGGCCTTTGCATAGTGCTGGAAAAGCATGTTTTGTTTTGTTTTGTTTTTTCCTCCAGTAGAATCTCCCTAACACCTGTGCAACACTTCTTAAGTTAAAATTATCTACTCTTATGTCAATAACACCTATACCAAGAGCTTTAAATTCCATAAGCTTGTAATAGTAAAATATTATAAACTTTTCTGAGAATTTGAAAGTTATGAGTATATATTAAAGTAACTGGAAGATGGCAGGCATCCATTTATAAAACAATCTGTTTAATCAAAGAAAATAAAATTAGGCAAAAAAATGATGCTTTTAAAAAAAGCAAAGATGTATTTTTTCTTATAAATATTTTTAAAACTTTTAAAAATAAAATAACAAAAAGAAATCCCTCTTGCATAAATTGATAAATTTTAGATACCATTACCTACCTCCAAATAAACCAGCTACAGTAGAAGGGTCATGGCACATAAAGGTAGTATTACGATAAGCTTGAGTACCACAAAAAGAATCTGACAAAGCATACAAGGAAGAAAAGAAAGCACAGAAAAAAAAAAGAGAGAAAAATGAGGAGGAACAGTTAAAAGTGGAATGGAGTAATTAAAAACAAACAAACAAAAACCAAGGGAGTCCAAGCACTTGGTGTTCTTCAAATTATAAAACACTGAAGGCTTCGTTATAAATACTATATTTAAAATATATTCACAACAAATTTATAAAAACTACCAACACTGCATCTCTTTAAATTAAAAAAATATATATATGATACAGTTGGCTTTTTAGTTAATACTACCCTGTCTTCTAATGTCTTCTTTTATATGTGAGGAAACAGCCTAGACAAGGTCACAGACATGACATAGCTGAGACCACAGCCCATTCCCCACCACTTACAATTCAGTGTTCTTTTACCTTTAATGAGAACAAGCTACCCAGTATACTGAGCATCACGTAATCAGATCAATGTCCTCCTATAGAAGGGCTGGAGGATATCTACATAGCTATTCTCTAATTTTTCTGGGTCATTCATGATCCTACAGAGCAGGGGTTGGCAAACTACAGGCTGCAGCCTACATGGTTTCTACATTTTTAAAGGGTTGTTATTAAAAAAATGCAAGGACAGGAAAGGAAACAAAACAAAAAGAAAGAATATACAATAAATATTTCGTGTGTCCTGTACTGACTGAAGTATTTATTATTTGGCTCTTTACACAAAAAGTTTGCTGACCACTGTTTTAGAACAACACTAGCCAAGAGAACTGTCTAATAACAGAAATGTTCTCTAAGTCTGCCCTGTACAATATGGTAGCCATTACTCACATGTACCACTGGGCAATGAAAAGGTGGCTAGTATAAAAGAGGATGTAAAATTTTATTTAACATTTAATTTTAATTAATTAAAGTTTAAATGACAATATGTGGTCAGTAGCTAATTAGACAGTGCAGCTACGGGAATGGCATACCTTGTGTAGCCCTTACATGCTCTTACCCTGAGTAAGAAACTGTTGGAATTTTTATTATACAACCTTACTTCTCAGAAACACTTAACTTGGCTTGAAAGGCTTCTTACTAAAAAGCCTCTTCTAGTTTGACAGGCATTGGCAAACTACAGCTGCATGTCTTTGTAAATAAAATTTTGGAACACAAACTCATGTTTATATATTTTCTATGACTACTTTTATGCTACATTGTTAAAGCTGAATGGCTGCAACAGAGATTGTTTGGCTCACAAGCCAAAAATATTTACAATCCGACCTTTTAAGTTTGCTGACCCTTATTCTAGACTAATATGCTGCCTAATGGTTGACATCAGTGATTTTCAATTTCCCCTTCGGTATGTATTTTCACTAAAAAAATGTGTATTCGACAATGATTTTTTCTTCCAATGATAACTAGTATGCTTTATACTTTCATTTGTACTATTTATTCTCAGAAAAAGAATATAAAAATTTAAATGAAAGTCTGTATTTCCATAAGGAAAAGAGCACTGCAGAGAAAAGCTGCACGTCTCCTGCTTCAGGCTCTGCTCCCACTAGCTGGGTTATCTTGGTGTATTTAACGTCTCTGAGACTCAGGTGATCCATTCATAAAATGGTAATAATATTATCTTACCACTAGGAGAGTTGAGAGCTAGACCAACCATTCTCTGTAGATCTTTGCAAACTCTAAATCATCAATTCTATGATTCTGATTTTCAAATGCACTTATTCGTCTTGGGGTATAACGGCCATCAACTTTACTAATCTGCTTTGCTTTCTAGTCTTCCTCTGGACCCAACCCATAAGCTTTAACTTAAAAAACAGTGACATATCTAGTATATTCCTCTTGTTATAGACTTTACTTGAAACCCCAAAATAATAATTAAGTAACTCTTTCACAATGGCTTTCCTATTTTTTCATTCTGCCTCTTTGAATGTGAAATAGCTATGACCTTTAGCTTAAGGTTACTGCCCTCCACTCTGTCCCTCTTCTGTGGATATAGATGTGACAGCCTGAAGCTCATGCCACTTCTCTGACCTAAAAGATGGAAATAACATATAGTGCCAAAGTAGTGACATATCTGTTTTATATCTCCAAATTAAGAAAAATGACTTAAAAAGACAGAAGCAGCCATATTTACTAAACATATACTAGTTCATAATAGGTAAATATAAAGAAAATATAAACTTGTAAAATATAAAAAATAAAAAAAACAAGTATAACTTTAGTAACCCCTCATTACTAAACATTGTACTCAATTTGACAAATTTTCTAAAGAGTAACAAAATGTTAAATTTAGTTTCAATCACTTTTTATATAACTTCTTAATACATTACAATGTTGTGAAAGAATTCATGCAATCAATAACAACACTTTGGAGCTATTATAATAGTTATATAAAACTACAGCACCTGCCTTGGAATGTCCTCAAATCTATAACTACTGCTTTTTAGTCACCTCCCTTCCTCCCTCTCTCTGATAAATCTAACAATATCCAGAATGTGGCCACAGGAACCATATCTAGGGTACATAGATGACTTTCTGTATGCCACTTTAATCAAAGATATAAATTTGCATCATCCTGATCCATTTCTTTAAATCAAATTCAAGCAGTGTCACCATCTTTTAAGGGAAGTTTAGCATCTTCATATCAGGATTCAAAAATATTTTAGTTTAATATACATATATATAAAAATTTACTCTTCCTTGTATAATTTTGATGTGGAATTTTGCCTTTTTATGGATTTTTATGCTGCAATTAAAGGCTATTCACAGTCAAGTTGCTTCTCATTCTCTATTTTTATCTCAAGGCTAACAATGAAGTGAGACCCCCTTAAGACAGGAAGAGGGTATGTACTGATTTTAGAAAATCTAAAATTGCACTATTCACAGTTCAAAAAGGAAAAAAAAAAAGATTAAGATAGATACTAACATAACCACCCTCTCTTCCAAGTACTGAGGGAAAAATACAAGCACATATAAACATGTATGCAAGTTTAACCAACTCACCTAATAACCAACTCTCTGAACTAATAAACTGGATGCAGCATGTGATGCTATACAGCTTGAGTATTGCAACATAATACAATACGCAACGAAACACTAAAAATGTCTAACTTGAAAGGAAATTTTCTTTCCTCAAAACTTGCATTAAATAAAATTAGGGATACTAGTGTCAATTTGAAAATCTCACTACATTATTGCTATTTAGTTTATTTTCAAATGTAACATTAGAATTCAAAGTAATTATTGCAATGCTTTAAAAAATAACTAATGGATATGTAAAAAATACTTAAGCAGTATAAACATAATTGGAAAGAAAGGTTAAATGGTACTTTACCAACAAACATTTCATGAGTAGGTGTCCTAGTAGTAAAAGTAGATACATCTGAAGAAATAGGAAGGTGAACATCACCACTACTTTTTGTGAGGAAAGGATTTAAGCTTGAAATGGCATCATCAACAGCATCTACAGTAGCAGAGAAAGGATCTGTGTAGTCCAAGTGCATTACAGCAAAATGAAGAAAGGAAGTAAATTAATTAGTATTGTGATTAGTTGAAAGATGCAAAGTGAAAAGTAGTAGCTATATTACTGTTTATTAATCTTAAATGCCAAAATATCTAATCACCAAGATGGAAGAACTATATTCAACGTACTTTAAAATTAATTCTCAAAAAAAACCAAACCATTTATGTCTATTAACAGTAGCATACTAAGGGTGGATGTATTCTTCAACATTAGGAAGCCAATAATAGGAAGTTAAAAAAGAGAATAATACCTAAAATGCTTCTGTAAAAAAGCCACCAACCTTGAACTACATTCTCTGCCCTAACTGAGAATATATTGGCTTTTGGTGGCATAGTTATGTTTACTTAAATAATTGATATAAGCAATTGATATGTGTGTGGTGTTAAGTAAAATTTCAGAAAACAACGGAATTGAGGGGTAAAAGACTGTTTCTAACATGTGCAGATAACTCTTGTATAGGTTTCAAAGGTAGGAAATAAAAAAAATGAAGGTGAAGAAAAGGTATAATGGTGGGGAAAGAGATTTTAGAAAAATTAATAGGCAAAAACTGGCCATTTAGTAGACTGTGAACAGCTTCGAAGGCCAAGCTAAGAGTTTTAAAGCCAAATCATTTAGGCTTTAAATGATTTGCTGAAGAAAGAACAAAAGAATTGTTTCCTACTAGAATGTTACTATATAATTATATATGTGTGTGTGTGTGTGTGTGTGTGTATGTATATATATATACACACACATATATATACACACACACACACTCATACACGTGTGTGTGTATATATATATATATACTATTATCAAATTCTACACCTAAAGTTGTTTTAGAAACATTAATTTACCGTATCTATACCTCAATTCAAGATAATTGTCATTCTAATGATTGAAAGCCATTCACCTGAACTTAATAGAGTAGCAAAAATATAGTATCATACTTTTTTCTCTTGTAACACAATAAAAAATGAGAAGACATTCCTGTAGTTTCAACCAACAATCTGTTGTTGTCTATTCTAGTCCAGTTTGTGACCCTCATTGAAAAATACTGTGGTATCTTCACAGTATTAAGCACTGTATTTTACTCTAAGACTATATGATGAAACAGCAAGAAGGCAGCAATGGCCTAAAGACCAGCTTATTCACTACAGTATAGGCATACTTTCCTTTACGTCAATAAATTCAAGGCAAGTGTCCCACAAACCCTACAAATGCTTGAAAAAATATACATACATATATATAAAATATTGAGATATGGCTTAAATATAATAAATATTTTTTAAAAACTTTAATTTTTGTATCATTTAAGGTCTTTTCTAGGAATTAAGCATTACTATGGAACATCAATTCACACCCAAAAATAAAGTCCTAAAATCGTATCAAAATTCACTGATATACTAGCTCGACTCCTATGGATCATGTTTTAACATATTTCCCACTCCTCCATTCCTTAATAAATGAAACAGTGGGGGAAAAGAATCAGAAATAAAAAGTAGAAAATAGGTATAAGTTGAATTTTTTTACATTAAAATAAAAATGTGATGGTGACCAATCTAACTCCTTCTTATATAAGAAAGGAGCTGTATTAATTTTAGAGTTGGTCAGTCTGGTTGAAAGTACTATTTTTAAATATTCAATAGTGGCATGGTGTTTTTAAAGTACATTAGACTTTGTTAGACAAGTAAGCAATACAGAACTCTCTAGTTTTCCATGCAAAAGAAGTAATGAGAGAAGACATTTGAAAAAAGAAAACACATTTCTGTAACAAATTCATTGGTTTATGAGAAAAAACACATCACTAGTTATCTGCTGTTCTACTGACTGATACTATCTTACCTAAGCACATAATATCAATCATTTCCTATTATACGAAACATTCTAGAGAAGAATATGCAGAAACATGTGCAAGTGCATCTGAATTTAGGTCAATCAGACAATAAAAAAAAAAAACAAAACCAGGTCTTAATCTACTTAACAAAACACTACAAGCAATCTAGATGGTATGAATGTCCTACTGGATACTATGTTATAAACAATAAAATCATTAAAACAAAAAAAAATAATGCTCCCACTATTCCAATTTAAACTGTATACATTAGACAGACTAGCAACTCTCCTCTAAATTCCTTAAACTTTTAAAAAATAGTTTTCTTCCATTATTTTTATCGTTATTCATTTGTAAGTTTAATTTTGTTACACTAGAGTCACAGAAAAATAATTTTAAAAAAAGATTAAAATAGAATCAGTCTAGTCATATCATAGTCTTGAGAACCTAAATACTTTCTACATACAAAAAACTGTTTTCTGTTTTTTTCATAAAATGTTGTTTCATGTTAGCTGAGAATAAAGCAAATTAAGCTTCAAAATAGATCATTCTTTTTTGTCTAAATTACATTTTGAAATCTTGTTTAAAACATATAACTGTACTGAGTTGACAATATGGTATATTTTTAGATTTGCTATAACTCAAAGTTTTCAAAGTGATGAAAACTCAAATTTTCTCAGATATTAGTATTCAACACCAACTGCTTGTTTAGACTCCAGACCATTTCTTGAAACATCAAAGGTTTATTAATAACACAATGAGAGGAAAAGGAAAGCTTGCGTTCTCTCTCTTTCAAGTTCATTTTTAGGTGGAATCTTAAATGGTTTTCATTTAAACATGTAAATCTTACTTCCTTTTAGCTCTATATCACTGCCTATCTGTGATTGGGAATATACATTGTCTCTGTGGTGCTTATGACAATTAAATGTCAAATCTGTTATTAACACCTATTTTTAGCAAATGAAAGAAGGGAAGCATAGAATAAGATTTTAGAATCACTAAGTCATATCTTTGTTTTGCCACGTTATAAAAGCAGCATGACATAAAATGTTACATATTTCGAATGTTCGGGTAAATGGTTAATTTCAAAAACTGCTTAAGATGTTTTCATTATGAGCACAGCTTTTTATATATGAGATTTATTTACCTACTTATCTCAGTCTAACTTCAATTTAAAAATAATGTAAAAAATCTTAGCCTGAGTATCATGGAAATGAACAATACACTGATTAAATTAGGAAGTAATCAAAGTTCTTAGCTTAAAATACTCTTCAGCTATCCAATATGCAAAAGTCAAAGCTCTGAAATTATCACCAACTCAGAAGCCAAATATCTTTATATGAAAGTCAAAACAAGATTTAAATATTCTTAAATTGAGGAGTTCATAGTAAAGATCATCATTCTTTCCTCATATGTAATGACAGGCTTTTGGAAAAACAAAAGTCAATTGCTATTGCCTGTGCTCTCACTGTACTTGATTTATATTTGTAACACTTTTAACAGTCTCACTTGTCAAGAACAAGCCTAATGTTAAAATGCAGGGAAATTTTTGATAGAAACAGTACATAAAGCATAATAACCAAAAAATAGAAAAATAAAACATAAGTAAATGTATTATATTGTATTCACACACAGACTGCTATAGAATATTTCTTATAACAGGACATAGAATAATTCTTACAGGCTGAAATTACTTAAAATTGTCTGCCTTCATACATGAGCTCAATAATTCCAAGCAGAAACTTTGTCATTGTTAGAATTAACTGTACATGCAGTTTAGAAAAAACAATTTCAGGTTCACTTTTTTTTAAATGTTATATTAGTTCTCATTAAGGCTTCTGTAAAAAATTGCATCTATCCGGAAAGACAACTTTTCAGCCTTAATTTAGAAAAACTACTTTCGAACAAAAAAGAAAGCTGGAACTGCTTAAATAGTTATGTTAATTCTATTAACCTTTTCTAAAGCAATTTATAATAAGCATGTAAGTTTTGGCAGGTTAAAAATCTTAAAACTAGGACTCACCATTAGGATATTAAGAAATGCCTCTCAATCTTAATTAGCTGTCTATGAGTCATCCAGATAAATAATTTAAAAAATTTGTTGACTTTAAACCAGCTTATCATTTTTAGGAATTACTCTCAAATCTTAAAATTTAGCTAAATTAAACTTGCCTTCAAAGTAAATTAGTTAATTAAGTTATGGCTCACAAAATTAGCCTAAATATCTAGTGTTTTAGTTTCACTAATCCTATTCTCTGCCCTACCATGAACCAGAAATAACCAGTATAGAAAAAAAGAAAAGCAAAGGAAACATCCATTCATTCAACAAGTATTTTACAAAGTACCTATTACATATCAGTCACTGGGCATACAACACTAAACACATCCTTCCTTCACAGAGATTACATTCTATTATATAAAACAGAGCCTTAAGAAATAACTATAAAAAATAACAAAAGTTCTTAAAACTCAAATCATTAAAGACGAAAAAAGTCTAATTCATATACCATAAAAACTCACTAAAATAATTAATCTTTGCTATGAGAGGTAAACCAATTGATTCAGGTTTTATGTGTTTTAAATTTTAAGGTAGCTTGCCAGACAGTTCTCTAGACAGTGTCCTTTCTCAGAATATCTTCTTTCCCTCCTAAATAATTTTTAAGTGTTTGTAAAATAATACTTACATATATACAAACAAACACAAGCACCAAAACCAACCAGAGGAAATGATTTGAAGACATACTAAATGTCTAAGCAAAACTGCTTAAAAATTGACAATGACTTTGGCTTCAAAGATGCCACGGTCATGTCATGATATGGGCACCTCAAGATCAAAGAACTACTCAAGGACACCAAACATTCCTGTTGGTAATAAGAGGAAAATTCTTTGAATACCAAACTCTTATAGGTCTGAATTAAATCAACATTTTAAATCTAAATAGCATAAGTTTGTCATGACATTCCTGGTCAGAATATAGTTCATTGCCTAGTAACACCATCTGAGTTTTATTGAAACTTTATCACATACTTACACAAGATGAGTTTTTTCCCTTACAAGTAATTATTTTTCTATCCCTAAAGGAAAATACCCATTATGCATTTTCTGATGATTGGATAGAAATAATTCAACATTAAATGAATTAATTCATGTTTAAACATACATTTGGTCCTCTTCTTCATCTTCATTAAATTTCATTTCATAATTTAACTGAACATGAATTCCAAAATTTTATTTATAAAATAAATGAAAACGTTTTCAAAGGGTAAAATGACTTCATTGCCATTTTAATATTTTTCAAGTTCTCATGTATCAAGTATAACCAAAAACTATAGAAATAAGTAAAATACCACAGAATAGAGAGGGGAGATGCCTATACAACACATAAAGCAGAATTCATTAATGCTTACCTCCCCATGTATTTGCTACCTGAGAAGCAGTTGACATTGGAAGTACAGATGGGTGAAAAGTTGGCTGTTGTAAATCAAGCAGATCATTTGGTAGCTTTGATGTGCTAGGAAGATGTTTTGAAAAGATGATTTATTTATTAGGTACATTTTGCTACATTAGCCACTCCCCTTTCCCACCTCAGTAAATAAAAACGTTAAAAAGAAAAGAGAAAGCTCCAATAATATAAATCTCAAAAGAAAGAACAGTTTCGGCAATGTAACAGCTACATATTCCTCATATAACAGCATATCCGAAGGAGACCTGGAAAACTATTCAAGTCCATATCTTAAGTTTATATAGGATTCAAATAATAATATCTTTTCTGGAAAGGATCAATAACCTCCCCAGTAAAATACTTACTTCTTTATTGAAAAGAACCTAAAAAACATGATTCTGAAATATGAAGCGTTATGGCAATTTTAATTTTTTTAAGGAAATCTGTTTTCTTACTTTTAAAGAACTACAACTGCAAAAAATAATAATAATAATAAAAAAATAAAGAACTACATTTGCAATACCAATACCCCTAAAAGTGAAATACCTGTTAACCTCACCACTACTGCTTTATAATCCAAACATAACAATACAGGGGAAAAAATTGTATAATGCATACGGTATAAACTTATTACAGAGCCACCCCATTACACAACTCCAGGGAGACACTACTTACATGATTTCTTTCTTATCATAAGACTTTTATGTGATGAAAGAAATAACAACTCAAAAAAAGAACTCAAAGTTTCCATGAATTGAAGCATTATGTGTACCACAGCATAGATCGCTTCTAACTTACATTTAATCAAAAACAAAGTTTTGAAGACATGTTTTATAGGTAGATAAATAAAATACAAATGCATTTAGTGCTTTGGAGGAAAATACAGAATATGCAATACACGTCTATAATAGGCTGTAAGATCTGTCCACAATTACTATTAAAAAGGTGAAAACTTTTGAGTGTATTAAGTGAAATAAAAATCTAGTCAATTCGAATTAGTTCTTTATCTAATATGTTTCATCCTCAAACATTCAACATTCTTCTTCATTTATGTCCCTAAGATGAACTTCTTTTCAAGATCCCCAAGTGGAAAACTTGACATTTAATGGGTTCAATATTATTTTATTGGGATTAAGGAAAGCGGCATACAAAAACAAAACAAACGAAAAATAAAGCTAAAAGAAAAATACATAGCTAAATTCAATAAACATCTATTAAGACTTTAGGAAGCACGTAATAGTTTAGTAAAAGTAATAGTGAACTGTGATAAGAGTCAGTTGGTGGGAGGGAAGACCTTTTAAGGATGAGTTAATAAACAGCAATAACAAGAAAATCTAAAAAAAGCAAACAAAAATCTCCATCGCTATGGCATATTTACCATGTGCTAATAAGCACTGTGTGAAATCCTATACTAGTCATCTGGGAGTCTGTCGGAAATGAAAATTCTTGGTCCTCACTCCACACTTACTGAATCAGAAACTGGAGGTGGGGCTGAGAAATCCATGGTTTAATTAACCCTCCAGGTGATTCTGATGTTTGCTAAAGACTAAGAACCTCTGACCTATACCATATATTACCTTATTTGGAAACTGAGGGTTAGTAAAAAATAAAATAAAATAAAAAAGATTAAGAAATAACAGAGCCAGGATTCAAACCAGAATCTGACTTCCAAAATTCTACTTTAAACTACTGTGAGGCAAAAGATAGGACAGATCTGAAAAAGCCAATTATCCGAATTTACCTTGAAATGTTACATTTCCAATGTTAAGTAACTTAAGTTAAGCAACAAGATATTGAAGTTGGTCTGATAGGCTTCAATACCACAGAAATCTGGCAAGCAACTAAACTCTTACTGTGTTCTACGGTGTTCCAGATTACTGAGTTTAGCACTAGAGAATAGATGTGAAGGACATTTAATATCCAATGAAAGGATATTCTGAAATACATATCATACCGTGTGTGTGTGTGTGTGTGTGTGTGTGTGTGTGTGTGTGTCTGTCTGTCTCTCCAAGAGTTATAAGGAGTCCTAAATGATAAGACATTTCATAAATGTGTTTAATTATAACTAATTTATGTAATGAAATGTTTGCCCAGATAACCCACTACATTACAATTAGTATAAATTTGTAATTTAGCCATCTCACATTTCCTCAATATGCAATATACTTCTACCACCATTTATCACCATTTCCTTTGTCTGAATTTATGATTACAAATGATAAATCAAACTAAACCTGAAAAGCTCTGCAAAATTTCTATTAGAAATCTTTAAACCTAAGTATTACAAGGGAATCTTTAAGTTCTCCACCTACCTGTTAGAAGAACTAGGAGTAGAAAATATATCAATGGCTGATGCAGTCATTATACCCACTGCTGAGGCAGACACAGGAGAGGCTGCAGTTGTTAAAGAGGTATGAGGTTTCTTCGCAAGTTCTTTTAGGCGCTGTTCCTGTTGAGAAAGGTAACTACTATAAGGAATCCATAAACCAGATTTGTTTGTATGGCCTCTAATAAAATGCATTTTCTAATTTTAATAGCACAAAAGTGTTCTCTATCAGTCATTCAACATTAGGGTGAAAAATTAGACTACGTACTTAGTTTTACCCCATTTGGATAACTATACAGTAAATACTGTTAGTCTCTACAGAGGTCCTAATTACTTTATGAAAACCTGTACTTGTTTTACCAAATAAAGAGAATGCACACACCTACCTTTAAAGCTTTTAAACGAGCCTGTTCTTCCTCTAATGCTGCCTGCTTTTCCCTTTCATCCACTTTGGTAAGAGACAGGCCAGTACTTGCCAGGGAAGAGACTGCGTTGGAAAGTGTAGTCGCCCTAGAATAATAAATGCACAAAGGTAATTTGGCTTTTTGCCAAACAGTTCACCTTAGGACTTGGTTATAAAATGGTCTGGAAACCTTGGTATGGATAGGCACCATAATTAAGAACTTAACTTATGAAGTCAAAACCAGTACTTCATCTGAAATACTCTACCCAGTGACTTAGAGCAGCAGTCCTCAACCTTTCTGGCACCAGGGACTGGTCTCCTATGAGAATCTGATCTGAGGTGGAGCTGAGCAGGTGATGCAGCACTGGGGTACGGCTGCAAAAACAGATGAAGCTTTGCTTGCCCTCACCTCCTGCCGTGCAGCCTGGTTCCTAACAGGCCACTTGGTCAGTCTGGTACCCGGCCAATCGGCAGTCAGGGGGTTAGGAGTTGGGGACCCCTGACTTAGAGGATTATTAGCAATTAGATGATTTACAAACACATTTACTGCTTTTTAAATAAATGTAAGATTTTGGAAAGAGTTCACAATAAAGGTGAGAGACAGTGCTCCAAAAGAGGGAACCTAGGCAATGAGGAAAGAGCTCACATACTCCCAAGAAAATCCTGATGGGTAGAAAATATTGAGATTCTCACAGAAAATAACTCTGCTAATTTTTAGCCTGGGTTTTGGAAGCACTACAGGAACACCAAAACATAAGTACTAGTAATAAATAATGTGTCTAGGTATGTTTCCCTTTTAATAATACCCAAAGATTTCACTCCCAGAGGACCATAGTGGTTCCTTCAAAGAAAGAGCAATTTCATTCCAGTCACTGGTCCATCTAGCATTCCTTTTTATCTGCTACTCTTTTGCCAAGTTAGAATTTCCTTTTCAAATATGTTATACATGCACGATGCATCACCTCTCACTGACAGAGTCACAGTAAGCCGCCTCCTTTCCCTTATATCAAAACTGTCCATACCATAAGCCCCAACATTAAATTCCCAAGTGTTAAATGTAGGCAAAATAAACACATCTGGTAAAGAATTATTACCTGAAGAACTACTCCTTAGTGACCTTTATTCATGCTCCTCATTACATACTAAATATCATTAATTTCTACTCTAAGAATACAAGCAAAACTAATTAAATTGTATGTAAAATTGACTTTATAAATGAGCCAATATAAAGATACAACTCAGAGGACAAGGAAAGAGTAATACAGTTGTGAGAGAAATGCAAGAAACCCAACAGAGCTTGATTAAAAAAAAAAAAAAATAGAAGGTAAATCACTGCTACCTTAACTACTTGACTATATGTTTCATTACTTACTCAAATAACTGGGCATTATAATTTTGGCTTAGATTTCTAAAAACCTACTAGAAAATTCAAAGAGCATATTTGTAATTAAAAACTACTAAAATTCATTAGCAACATTTTCCTTTACAAATTACTTAAATTTTGTTGCTTAAAAAAGAAAAGTTCTAAAATAATCAAAAAGTCTAAAAAGGAAGGTTCTCATTATACTTCAGTTTTTTTCTTCATACTGTTAAAAGAAAATCTTCATTAAGAAAACATGACAATTATTCAAGTCACCACCCAACAGAAAAATCATGTTATAAGTTGACGTGAGATGGTCTGTGTTACTTTCAATTTGCTAGGTTAATTGGTCTTAGTCTTGGAAATCAGGCCAAAGCCTAACAGACTGATTAAAACATAATATGTAAATAATCAACTCTGTGAAACTGCATTAGAGAAGAATAATGAAATTTGATGTCAGACATCCTAGGTTTGATGCCTAGTTACTACAGCATACTTCACAGGGATATTGTGACGATTAATCAAATTTGTAAAAAGACACCTTATAATTATAAAACACCATAGGAATCAATACGTTGTCATCTTTAAGAGAAATATTCACACTATGAACACAATTTTAAACCAAGTAGTCCTTGTCATCACCTTAGCAGATGCTAACATTTATTAAAGATTAGGAACTATTCCAATTTACATGTATTAACCCACTTAATCCTTGACAGCTACTCAATGAGGTTGACACTATTATTAAACCCATTATTAAACCCATAAATGGTTAAATCAAGATAAAGAGAAGTGACTTGGAACTTGAGCTGGATTCAGAAACATCTCTCTCAGAAACAATACTCCTATTGTTTGCCCTGAAAAGATTGATGTACCTGCTTGCAGCTGTAGAATCTTTGATTTTCTTCCCTTCCAAGGAAGCTAAATGTTGTTCCAAAGCATCAAGTAGACTGCTGGGGGCCTGAAATTGTATAAATATTAAGACTTTTATGATAATCAAGCCATTGGGCAAAATATATCAAGTACCATCTGACATAGGAGAGCAACAAAAATAAATAGGTATATTACTCATGAACTAATTAACAGTGGAGTTTTAGCTACCCAAGAATGACACTATTATTATTAAATAAACATGAACTAATAAGGGCTATAACATAATCAAAAACATGAAAACTAAGACTATGTAAATGTGATCCATTAAAAGGATCCTGCAAGTAATTATTTTAAAAAAATTTTAACTTATTTGAATTTTAAATAGAAACATATTCCTAAAAGCAAGACATACTGTTGAGCATATTCCTGGTACTTATTACCTTCTGAGTAATTGAAAATGTCCAAACATTATTATTGATAAATGAAACTGAAGATTAACATCAAGAAAATGAAAATTAAAATCACAATGACCTAACTTCTTACCAACGAGAATGGCTAGAGTTAAATAGACTAGAAATATCAAGTGTTAGTGAAGCTATGGAGCCACTGCAAGTCTCGTACAATGCTGGTGGGAGTACATCCACCTTGAAAAAGGGTCTGGATGTTTTTTATAAAGTTAAATATACACCTACCTTAATTACCCAATTCCATTTCTAATCATTTACCCAAGAGACATAAAAGTGTGTCTCCACAAGAAAAGATTTGTTCAAGAATGTTTTAAGTAGCTTTATTTGTAATAGTAAAAAACTGCAAATAATCCAAAAGTCTATCATCTGGAAAAATGGATAAACTGTGGCAAGTTTACATAATAAAATACTATGCAGCAATAAAGAAGAATGAATTAATGGTACATCCAACAACATGGACAGATCTCAAAATACTATGATGAGCAAAAGAAGCCAAATACAATAATACTTTGAATACCATGATAAGCAAAAGATATAAAATTCCATTTATATCAATTTTAAAATATGAGAAAATCATGCTATTAGAAATCAAAATAGTGATTTGTATGGAACTAGGAAGTAACTGGAAGGAGACACAAGAATTGGGGTGATGGAATGATTTACAACTTGAATGGCATGTTGACTACATAAATGTTTATAGCTGTCAAATCTCACTGAAATAAGATATTTACCTCAATTTTTTTTAAAAAAGAAAGACTAGCTTTTAAACTCTCAGGTTATATGTCAAATTTCAACTTAATATGAAGAGTTAATTATTTTTAAAGGGACACCTTTTCAGAGATCTGAGGAGGAATTATTCATTACCTTTAAATGAAGCAAATCCATCAGTGGCATTTAATTACCCCAAATATTCTTTAGGATTTGGGATACAAAGTTTCTGAGTTACAGGGATCTAAGAACAGTTGGAAGAGGCAATACTAGTTAATTTCCTTAACAATTATGACTTGAACAATTTCTTTCATCCAACAAAATGTTTGCTAAGTCCACAGGCAAAGCAGTATCTCAAGAGCTATTATCAGAGATGATGAGAATGTTGACGTTAACAGTCAACATTTAAAAAGTTCTTGTAAAAAAAATAAAAATTTTTTAAAAATAAAAGTTCTTGTGACAACAGGTACTATGCTAGCTACTTTGTATGTAATCACTGACTATGAGGAAGACACTACCAGTATATTTTATTCACAGATAAACAACCTCAGTGAAAATTAAGTTACTTGTCCAAGATTACACAGCAGAAGCCAAAACAGGGTCTAAGGTATGTCTGATCTTAGAAAAGAATAGATATAACTATAATGCTACAGAATCCTAAATTAAAATTGTGGTCATTTAAACTATAGTTTACATTTTCCTGAAGGGTTTAAGCTGAGGCTTACAAATATTAAACTTCCAAGTTATGATAATAACAAACTATTTCCAAAACCCTTTCTAAAATATATCTGGCTATTCTTTAAAAGTCAAACCCACATTACGAAGGGTGAAGGAAATGTGATGCTTTACATCTTAAAAGAAAAATTTATAACAAAGAATAAACAATCTCAAATTTCCACTCTTGTGTATAACCACCATCTTCCCTGAAATATAAACAGGTTGTTTCAGTTCACTTTTGAATCACTCGGAGATGATAAATGAAGAGGGAGGGAGGGTTGGAGGCTGGCCAACACTACCCAATTGCAATACCATGAGTAAAGTACAGCCACATGACACTGTAGCCTGAAGATGATGTTTTTGAAACAAAAGATAGGTGAAGGTGACATGACAAATGGGGGGAATCTGACACTGCCAAATCAGTGTATGCTACATATTGTTCTAGCAGTGAATCTTCTCACATTTAGCCCAGAAAAATGTACTGGGTCTTAGGTCAATTTACCTCAAATACAGAGTGTTTCACTTACATATAACCCACAACCAGATCTATGGCACACTCCTGGTATGGAGATAAAAGGGATGAATCAGAACAAGTGAGTACAGAGAAACACAATAAAAACTATTATTTAAAAGATGTCCCTGAACAATTTAAAATAAGGTAAGAGATGTCAACTATTAAGGAGAGAAGCAATGTAAGTGTTATAAGGATAGTTTATGCCAGGTACTTTCATTCTTAATACTCAGTAAACAAAAAAACAGGAAAAGCCAGAAAAAACATGCGGGTTTCAAGTTTCTTTCCGAGATTTTTTTTTGAAGAAGAGGATGATAAAAACAATATAATAGCCAATATTAAGTGCTTAATACTGTGTCTTTTAGGTAGTAACTCAGTTAATTGCCACAACTACATTATGAGGTAAATACTGTAATTTATCCATTTTACAGATGATAAAACTGAATCATAGAGAGTATCTTCCCCAAATCACAGGGCTTGCTAGTGGTATAGCCAGGACTCAAAGAGATAAACAAAGCCTGCTTGTTTATTCTAATATCATGTTTTGAGATTTATCCCTATTTAATACTCCTACCTGAGCCAAATAGTCAAAACAGAAGGTTTAAAAAATGAAAAATAAGTCCTGTGTAAAATAATTCTCTACTAATAATATAGTACAAATGTTGTTTTTAAAATACCATTCTCTAAGTTCAGTTCTTTTTTTTTAAATGATGATGATGGAAAAGAGTAAAAGGAATAAACTGAAGTAACAGTACAGCAGTGGCTAGCTCTACCATTACAAGAGGTGAACAGATCATTCTACATGATCATAATGTTAGAACAATCGTCAGTAATACATCAAAATGTTAAAAATCTGTCAAGAAAAATTACACTGATCTTAATAGCTGGGGCTACATATATTATTCATCTTGTGCCCTTCACACCTAGCAATACATAGCAGACAGTGTTGACACTATAACAATACACTTACCTGTGAAAGGTCTGGTATATCACCTCTGTCAATTCCAACTTGCTGTAAGAAGAAGCAGCATTGTATTTAATAGATAAAATTATAATAAAGATGTTTTATAAATAAAAATTAGAAAATGACATTTTTAACTAGTACTGTGAATAACAGTTTAGATCAACTTCTTTAAAAATCAGAAGAATAATCTCCAAAGATGTCATTCAATGTTTCCAAGAGCTTAGATGTTATTTGATAGCTCTAAAAGTTGTAACAGGAGGGGAACTAGAGTTGAAAATTTAACAAGACTATCAAGTTACCATCTCCATATCTTCTAAGCACCTATGCCATGTCACAATCTAAAAAATCCATCACTTCTAGTTGTCATATGAAAAAAACCACTATGGCAAGGATGAGAAAGGCTGCCCACTAATGAACGAATTCCCTGAGGCATAAAAAGAAGTTAAAGAACAAACCCAATGACAATCACTTTGCCTTTCTCCATAAAGTATGCTTTCCCAGGCAATCGCCATGAGATAACAATTTTTAAAACCTATGTTCACTCAAGTAGGCCAGGTTTTATACAAATGCAAAGTGACATCTAATCAAAATATAAACTGTCTCCACAAAGCAATCTCAAATATACTTTCATGATCATCAGGCACAAGACAATTTCCAGCATAAAAGATAAAAACCATTCCTACTTACTAATCTAGTATCCATGTTAAAAAACTGTTTTCCCTCCCTGTGGCTATGTTTCATTTTCTAATCATTCCATCTTCCGTTTCTCAATCTTTCAAAAGCCAGTCCCAGAACGATATCAGTAGAAAATTTGATAAAATAATTCAAACTGAGATCTTACTAATTATATGTTCTCTTCAAACACATTTGAAAAGATTATTCATGCCTTTACTCCAATAACTAAGACCTATCTCATAATGAAACTGCAATCCCTAAGACAGCTTCATGAAAGGATATTTTAGGGCAGAGAGTCTTCCTATTTCTCAGATCACATGCAATTAGATGGTCTATTGCATCTCAGAGTAAGATCAGCAGATCTGGAGGTAAACAAGGGCTTAAAATTTAAGTCAGAAACTATAACTATCATATACAAATAACATAAGAGGCCAAAGGGAAAAGTCAACAAATTAAAACTTATTTAAAGAAGTTACTGGAATCATAGCATAAATCCTATTTTCTTCTGGTTTTAATATGTGACTGACTTAAAGAAATGGAAAAAAAAACAACAACATTGATTTGCCTCGAGAGATACTTTAAATTCAATTGCAGTAGGCTTTAGAAAATAGCTGATTAACAAATCAAAGCTATTTTCTTCAAAGGTCTCATCATCCTGTTCTATTCATCTGCCACAGAATAAAATATCACTATAGTAATAGAGCTAGAATGACCAACTTGCTAGCTCCAGATTAACTACTTTGATATAACTGATCAATTATAGCCTAGTCATCTTCCAGAATTATCCTAGCAAGACATCTCTGGTGGTGATGAGTAAAGAGAAAACAAAAATACTTTAAGACCTACATCTCTGTGTGAGCAAGATAATACCTGCAAGCATTAACACAAATGCCTTATGTGACAATTTCAGAAAATTATTTCTTAAACAGATTTGCAAAATTAGATTATCCTATAACCTATACTCATGGTTTTTGTAATCAATGATAAACAATACACTAAATTCACTTCTGTGGGGAAACAAAACATTCTGAATAACATGCCTCCAGCTGCAAGTCGCAATGGAGGAAAGAGACTACCATTAACATTGAATACTCTCTGCCATACTAAACAGAATAAATCTTCTAATATACATGGCTAATTCCAAACCATCGTGGGCCACCTATCTAATTTTATACAGAAAGATTTAAAAATAAATTACCTTTCAATATTTAATAGTGAATTAAATATACAGGATATATTTTATTTAATACTATAAAATATTCATGCCATAACAGAATTCAATACAGCTTATTGACATGATTGACTATATATCCCACTATATTTACGATATTTCATTTAGATAATGACTGATTTCTTTAATATCCACACTTAAAGACAAAACAGCAGGTTAAGAGACATAGTCACTTAAAGATAGTTTACCTCTGCAACTTTGAGAAACTCTGAGATTCTTGTCATCCTGGTCAGGAACTTCTTATAGATGTCAAGACCTTCTTTGCACTGGTTCTTTTTCATATCAAAATATTTTTCTGCCAAAAGTAGATGCAAAAATACTTTTATTCACATCAAAATATAACTCGAAAAAGAAAATAATTAAGTAACAGCTCCAAAGACTCATATAGGTGTCTCAGAGAACACACTCACCCTACAGGAAAAATATCAGTGTTAAATTAGCTTAGATATTTAAAGCAAAGTAAAATAGAGATACCATCATATTAAAAGCAGAAAAACTACTTGACTTTACTTATATTATCAGATTGTTCTACAATATTCCTTTCCTCACAATTCCCTAAATATGTATTTGAATGTTAATACATATTACCCTTTACTCAATGTAAAACAGCACTAACTTATATTTCCAAATATTCTTACTAATGATATATTAACAAAGATGGCTTGGAAAGCTCATTTAAACTTAATATATAAACAGCAGTAAAGAGCTTCATTTATAATAAGCATAGACTGGAAGACTATGCCTTCCAAATTTTTGTAGAAAACTCTCCATTTTTCAATTGTAAAAAAAATAAGCCCAATTTCCGTATCTCCAAGGATTAAAGCATTCTCGAAAAAAAAAAAAAACAAAGAAAAACAAATTAAAAGAAATTCTAAAAGAAATAAAAAGAAGTAGGTGTAGAACGAGCACATTGGAGTAAACATAATTGATATATGACACTTGCACTTTGGCACTCATTGCAAACTGTTACTCGTCTACTCCATACAGATCCTACTGAAAAAAGTGAGCATTTCTAGGCAAAATTAACTGCATTCCATATAGAGCTGACCCTTGAACAACATGGGGCTTACGGGTCCTGTGCACAATCAAAAATCTGTATATAACTTTTAACTCTCTCAAAACTTAAATACTATGCCTACTGTCAACCGGAAGCCATAGTGAAACATAATTAACACATATTCTGTATGTTATATTTATTATACAGTGTATTCTTGCAATAAAGTAAGCTAAAGAAAAGAAAATGTTGTAAGAAAATCATAAGGAAAATATTTACTGTATTTATTGAAAAATCATATGCATATAAATGGACCCATGTAATTCAAACCTGTGTTGAGGGTCAACCAACACTCAAAGTATCACACATTCCTAAAATGTCTCAAAAATAAAGCACAAGATATTCTTAAAATGCCTCAGCCTTAAAAATAAATGTTTAATGCACTGAAAATAATTATCAACTTTTAAATTAAGTTTAGGAAAAATATCAATTTTACAGTTAAAGTTCATTCTGGAGTAAATTATGAAGAAATAAGATTTTTCTGGAACAGAAAAATTTCAACTTAAATTTTAAGAGATTTTTCTGTTTTTAAAAATTGTAAAACTGATAGACGAAAACACATATATCTCTAAAAAATAAAGTTCATCTAGTTAAATGTTCTAGTTATAAATATACGTATTTAATCACCTAGTATGTGTAACTGGTATAAAATTCTTTTCTCCAAATAAATTGTTACAAAAAATGAATATAGCTCAATAAATTTTTAGGTAGCTTTAAGTAACAACTCAGACAATACTATTAATCCATACAATACTAGAAACAGAATGTCATTAAGCTACAACAATATTTACCCAACAGGTTAATAATTCCTTCATTGTATGCTGCAAACAGTCTAATGGCATCTTTGAACAAAAGCATGAAGGCAGCATTTATTACCCCATTTGTAAGTTCATTACTATTAACCTGAGGAAAAATCAGAAAAAAAAAAAAATTAGCTAATCTTATGTTTTAAATGACAGTGACTTTCTTCAAATTAAAATACAGTGAATTTGAATATTTAGGTGTATTAGAGAAAAAACATTTATTATTTACAATCAGTTACAGCCAAATAGAGTAAAAATTTCGAGTTCCGATTTATGTTAAAGACTGAATCAAACAAACATCCTATGATCTATGACATTCAATTTAGTTTTGAAGTAAATCATTGAGAACAAAAGTACCCTTAACTCTTGAAATTCCTAGGCTATATCTCAAAAGTCTTTTAGTTACAACTTCATTTCAACATTAAATACTTCTAATTGTAAAATAAAGCCCAGTTCTAAGTGGGAGTTCAGTTTGAGTCATGAAAGAGTTGCTGAATATTTTTAAATAAAAAAGTATTAAATGGCTATTATAACCGCCAAGGCACAACTAGAAGATAAGTTTTTTAAAACTACATATACCTTTTCTCAATATTACAAACAAACTCACTTTCAATTAGGATGATAATATTTTTACCTCAATTGGTTACTGGAAGAATTAAATGGTACACTGAGCGTACAGAGTCTAGTGTAGTACCCCACACAGGAATGATCAATAATTACTTTTATTATTGAATTATGCTATAACAAAAAATTGCACTTATTTGTCTATCAAGAATACTAGAAATAACTTTAGTTTTATCTCAAGGAATGAATCAAAAGGATAAGTCTAATTAACTTTTATAGATAACACAAATATCTAGTACATGAAAATGAACTTGTTGCTAGGAATAGAAAAGCCTAAGTAGAAAGATGAATAGTCAACAAAAAATTGGTAAATATCTGCAGAATACTAAGAGGGCTGATTTCCATCATAAAGAAAGAATCCTAATAATAAAGCAAATGACAGACAATTCATAAAAATAAAAAATACAAATAACATGTGAAAAGAACCTCAATTTCACTTACCAGATAAATTAAGATAAAATAATCAAATTAAATTACTGCAATATCCATTCTTGAGCACTACACCAGAAGATATCAAAATAATCAAAACCAAGGTATTATTCAGTGCTCATAAGGATAAAGAAAACAGGTTACCTGCTGAGGAGCGACTGGCTCAATCTCTCCGGAATATAAATTGGCAATATTTTAAAAATCTAAATGTTTATGTCCTTTTAACCACCAAATTCTTTTTTAGACATTAACCCTACAGAACAGAGGTCCCCGTCCTAAGGCCGTGGACCAGTACTGCTCTGTGGCCTGTTAGGAACCAAGCCATACAACAGGAGGTGAGCAGCTGGTGAGCCAGCAAAAGTTTCATCTGTATTTGCAGCCACTCTCCAGTGCTAGTTGATTCACTGCCTCAGCTCTACCTCAGATCATCAGGCATTAGATTCTTATAGAAGCACAAGTTCCTGTTGCCAAAAAGTTTGGGGACCACTGCTATAGAAATATTAAGTTGGCTATTCCTACAGAAAATCTTCAGACATTTTTAAAATCTAAAAATCATTATGGAAAGAAAGTAGATTTTTCAGATCAATTCCTTCACCTTCCCATCACATTTTTTGGCTTGCATAGTCTCCATATCCACCGGTTCTGCATCCAAGGACTCAAACAACCAAAGATGGAAAATATATTGTTGCTGACATATACTACAGTTAGGCCAAAAACAGTTGCGTCTGTACTGAATGAACACGTATAGACTATTTTTTCATGTCATTATTCCCTAAACAATATACTATAAAAACTATCTACATAATATCTTCATTATGTTAGGTATTATAAGTAATCTAGAGATGATTTAAAGAATATGGGAGATGTGCATAAGTTGTATGCAAATATTACATATATGCCATTTTATATAAGGACTGAGCATCCATGAATTTTATCTGCTGGGGGTCCTGGAACCAAGCCTCCCTGGATACTGAAAGGACAGCATATAGTTCAAGAGTCTACGAAAACCTGAAAATAAAATCTGATCAATTATAAGAATATAATTTTTAACATGTTAAAGTACAAAAGCATTTGTGCAATCAACTTACATTAAAATCAAGAAGGGCATCCATTTGATTCTGAATAATTGGTACAGTTTTTAGAAGTTTTTCTGTGTTCATTGTCCTCATAACTCCATCAGCCCTGTTTTATTTTTAAAAGAAACAATTGAGGTTGTTATTAAATCTACATTTTGAACTGCCACTTGGATCTCTATATAAACAGAGAACAAGTTGCTATGAAACATCACATATTTTTAAGCCATTATTGAACCTGAAACCTCAAGCATATCATATAAAAAAAAAAAAAGAGGAAATTTTATGTCTAACATCAAAATGCTCATTTAAAATGAGGTGGGAAGAAGGAAGGAAGGAAGGAAGGAAGGACGGAAGGACGGACGGAAGGACGGATGGACGGACGGACGGACAGGACAAAAGAAAGAAAAGATATAAAACATGACACACAAAAATCAAAGCTTACATTATACTGCCAGGTTTATAGTATACTTTTCAGATGAGGGAATCATCTGATCCTCAAATCACTCCGGTGTAAAGGGAAATTTTACAGATTTTTTTTTTTTTAAATTACATGTTAAAAAAAACATTTGCCTAACTAACATCACTAAACAGTTAGGACTTGATGGAGCCAGCAGTTGACCTCAAGTCTTGGTGAGCATTGCTTTATTTAAGGTATTTTATTCATTACTCAAATAGCGATGGCTTGTAAACATTTCATTTAATTCTCACAACAATCCTAATAACTAAAATTATTTTATTATAAAATAAAGGACAATTTTACCAAGTCATTCTAATCTGGTCATTAAAATAAATGATACTTAAGAGAAATGTTTTCAATAAAAAGATTCCTTGGATTCAAAACCAAGGATATAGAAAGGCCAACTGCATATTTACTGGAAAAAAAAAACACAAAACAAAAAACTCACATATAAGTGGACCTGCACAGTTCAAACCCATGTTGTTCAAGGGTATAAGTAAAAAGTAATTTAACTGGGTAATAATTAATTTTGATTTTTGAATGGTCTATATCTTTATTACAAATTATAGTTGTTGTTGTCTCCACCTCACTACTTTTATACCAAGATATATTCCTAATGAATCAAAAATTTAAATATAAAATACTGAATCCATAAATATATCCAACGAAATCATTAATAGGTAATTAATCATTCTGGTGTAGAAAAGCCCACTCTGACTTTGCTTAAAGGACAAAAACCATAAAAATAAAGATAATAATTTTGATCACAAAATATTTTAAACTTTTAATAATGTTTAAAAAACAGGCAAAAATATTTGTAACCCACGATAATTTATTTTCCTAACACACAAAGCTTATTTGTGTTTCCCATGTGCTAAGTATTACATACATTTCATTTAATTTTCACAACAATCTTAATAGATAAGTGCTATTCATGGCTTCCTAACTGTGCCACAGCATACTACTATGGTACAAATGGGCTGTATATGTGCCAACGCATTCTTCCCTAATCCTCCGGCCTCAAGTAGTCTTCCATTTAACCCACTGTCCTGTACAAACAGTATCAGTTTGTGTGCCACAAATGTAAAAAAAGTTAGTAAGCTGATGGACATGTAATAAAAGATCCTAGTTTTAAGAAATATGCACAGAAGTGTTAAGGGTATAAACTATAAGAAAGCATTAGTTATGTAATCCCCTCTCAAATGGTTCAGGAAAAAAGTACACACACACATATACAAAGAATAACTAGGCAAATGTGACAAAATGTTAAAAACTGGTAAATCTGAGTAAATTCTAAAGGAGTTATCTATATTATTCTTACGGTATTTCTGGAAGTGAAATTACTTCAAAACAAAGTTATTTTTAAAAAGCCAGAAAGCTGACTGAAATATCTTTATTAAAGTCCCTCATCTAACTGGAGTGAAGCTAGAATTCAAATCCAGATTGACCTGACTAAACAGCCTGTGAGCTCTTAACACTATTCAACACATCAGAAAAGAATTTAAAAACCCAACAAAGAAGTGGGCAAAAGAGGCTCAACATCACCATTTATTGCAACCAGTATGAAATGAACACCTAATAAGATACAATTTCATGAGAATGGAAGAATACAGTAAAAGAGGTATTTATTACTGTATTTAAGTCAATAATGTGGTACAACTTTTATAAAGAACAATTTGGTGTTTTCCATTAAAATGTTAAATGTGTATGTATATCCTTGACTTATCAATTCTAAGAATTTATTCTACAAGAAACTTCACTTAAGAATGCAATCATACGCAAAAGGATAGTCAATGCATTCCTTCATAAGATAAAAAATAAGTTAAATATACATCTAGAATATAATTCTATAGCCATTCAAAAGTAGATAGATCTATGTGTACAGACATTGAAAATGTCTAAAATATATAGTAGGGGAGGAAAGCAGTCTTAAAATAATGTCTAAATATTAAATATTATATAATATTAATTTGACTATATTAGATAATTATATACTATTTATCTTTTTAAAAATTATTTATTTTAATTAGTTTCAAGTATACAGTACATTGGTTAGACATCTACATAGTTCATAAAACAATCCCTATTGCTCCCTCCCTCCCCTGACCCTCCACTTAGCCAACGTATTAATGTTAACTACATTCCCTATGCCACGCTCCCCACGACCATCCATCAACTACTAATTTGTACTTCTTTAACCCTTCGCCCCATTCTCCCAGCCCTCCAAATCCCCTTCCCCTCTGCCTATCACCAAACTGTCCACTGTATTTGTGAATAACTATATACTATTAAATATTGTACCATATTAATGTAATATAGTATTAAATAAAAATTTATGTAATTTTCTATGTACCTCCATACATTCATTTCTATTTACACATAGAAAAAAGATTAGATACACTAAAATGTTAACATTTCCTACAAGCTGCCTGAACTTTTAAAAAGTTTATTACTTTTGTAAGCATAAAAAATTATTACCCTAATAAATAATATTTTACTATTTGCTACGCAAGTTCTCTCTAAAACTGAAATCGTCAACTGAGATTTTTGCCATGATATAATAAATTTTAATTGCTGTCATGCCTTCAACTTAAACCTTACATCCTATATATTTTTTATTTATACAATTTGATACACATACACATAGATATATATATCTGTGTTTCTATAATGTCAATTTCGTGCTTTTTCTTGGTTCCACTCAATTATGGCTCCTCAAAGCTTTGATTTACTTTCTTTTTCCTTAGCATTAAATGAGAGTAATTTCTTTTAAATCAATACTAATTATATTGTGCATAATCAAAGGCTGTTCTCATCCAAATAATGAAAATTTGCTCTATTAAATACAGAAATGCAGCAACTCTCCTCAACCTCAAAACTAACCCTTCAGATTAGAAAAAATAGAAATATAGTCAATATTACTGTAATGGCCATGTATAGTGCCAGATAAGTACTACAGTAATCTGGGGGATTATTTCATAAATTAATGGCTAACCTCTGTATTGTATACCTTAAACTATTATAAAATAAATAAAAAGTAAATAAAAAGGTTTCCATTTTTGAATTCTATTAATCTGAAATCTAAAAATATCCTGAAGGTCAGTTTTACTGAATATATTCAACAGTGAAGTATAATATAAGCTCAACTGGAAAACGGTTTATTTGACAGGATATTGGGGTTAAGAATCAGACTTCTAAATATGAACTCCTCAACTATAATCTTCTAAAGTACCTAAATATATGTAACAAAATCTGTGAAATTTAATTTTGGTAAATTCCAAGCTAATCACCTCCTGATTAATTTGGAAGAGTGTACATGGAACATTTAAGTTCATCTTTAAAATCTCTTGAATAACTAAGAGGCTATGTCTACATTTATATTATATTGTCCATTTCATTTTAGAGATTTAACATTTAAAGAGAACAATTTAAAGAAATATTAATTGCTTACATCTTTGGGATCTTTGAGCAGCAGGGAAACTTAGAAAGGCATTCACCAGAATATTTCTGCAGAAGCCAGATTTCCCTCAGGGCAGGATTTCACAGCCACAAGGGTCATCAGTGCCCCTTTAGAATGTCTTTAGTGACTTTTTCCTGAAGTCTCATCATATATCCTAAGAAAAATCCATATACCAGGTGCTATCAGGTATAAAAGCACTGATTACATCATTTTTGTGTGATTAGTTCATGTGCCAAGGAGACTATTATTTCGGGCACAGCAAAAAACAAATTCATCTTCTGAAGCCATTGTTAAAAAGAACTTTAAATACAAAACAGCACTGAAAGTAAAAATGAAAAACAGAAAGACATCCCATGTATAAGGACTAGAAATAATGTGTTAAGAGTGCAATACTCTCCCAAAATGATCTACAGATTTAATGCAATCCCTCAAAATCTTAGCTGCCTTTTCTGAAGAAATTGATAAGATGATCCTAAAATTCATATGGAAATACATGCAAGGGACCCAAAATAGCCAAAACAGTCTTAAAAAAATAATAGAGCTGGAAAACTCACATTCTAAATTTCAAAACTTACTACAAAGCAACAGTAATCAATACCAACAGAACAGAATTGAGAATAGAAATAAATCTTTACATTTATGATCAATTAATTTTCAACAAGGATGCCAAGACCATTCAATCAGGAAATAAGACTTTGAAACAAATGGTGCTGGGATAACCGGATATCCACATACAAAAGAATGAATCTGGACCGAGACCCCACACCATATACAAAAATTAATTCAAAACCTAAATGTTAAGAGCTAAAACTACAAAACTCTTAGAAAAAATTTAGGAGTAAATTTTTATGACCTTAGATTAAGCAACGTTTCCTTAGACATGATGCCAAAAATGGTTTGGTAGTTCCTTAAGAAGCTAAACAAGAGAGTTACCATATGACCCAGCAATTCCACTCCCAGGTACCCACCCCTGAGAACTGAAAAGAATCCACACAAAACGTGTACACTAATGCTCAAAGCAGCACTACTCCTAAGAGCCGAACAGCAGAAATCACTCAAATGTCCATCAGCTGATAAACAAAATATAGTATAATCCACACAAGAGAATATTATTCAGCCATAAAAATAAATAAAATATTAATACATGCTACAATAAGGATATTACAACTTGAATACATTATGCTAAGCGAAAAAAGCAAGACACAATAGGCTACATATTATTTGATTCCATTTATATGAAATATCCAGAATAGGTATACCCATAGAGACAGAAAATAGATTTGCGGTTGCCAGGGTTTAGAAGATGAGGAAAATGGAAAGTAACTGTTAACGAGTTTGGGGATTCTTTCTGGAGTGATGAAAAGTTGTAAGATTTGATAGTAGTGATGTTACATAACTCTGTAAATGTCCTAAAAACCATTTTATACGTTAAAAGGGTGAATTTTATGTTGTGTGAACTCTATCTTAAAGCTGTAATAAAATTAAAAAGAGCTTTAAAAAACCTAGTGCAAAAAGTATCTGATGTACTTCTTCAAAGAAAATTGAAGTTCAGTCTTTTAAAACTGGCCTGAAATTCCAGATAATTCATAATCTAATAATTTATATGGTTTATATTTTAAAATATTCAAATCCACTATATAGCAAGAAAAAAAAAGTTTAACTCACCCTCTTTTCACTTTTGTGAAATCAAATGCAACTTGTCTGTATGAAACTGCTTTTTCATTTAGATATCTACTATACCGCCTAATAAATGTAGACATATCATATCCTGTAAGAAAAAAATATTAAAAGTTTTCATAAATTATTAAAATCCCAATTTGCTTAGAAAACCAACTCATTTCATCCAATGGCCATAATGTCTTGATATCCCAATTCAATTTAGTGATGTAAATTAAGTGACTAATGAATAATATATTCTAATATCTATAAGACTTCACATTTTTTAAGTCGGGTACGTCATATGTGGCTTTGAAAAATCTTTCTGAGTCTACAGCCACGCCAGCCTGAAAAAGCCTGATCCCGTCTCATCTCGGAAGCTAAGTAGGGTTGGGTCTGGTTAGTACTTGGATGGGAGACCACTTAGGAAGAGCAGGTGCTGTAGGTGTAAAAAATAAAAAAATAAGGTCCTTGCAATCTGTGAGGTCAACCAAGGGTTGCCTCGCCTATTAAAAAAACAACGACGACAACAACAAAAAAGAAAAACCTTCCTGAGAATTTCATGACAATAATATATATATATATATATATTTTTTTGACTTCTGATCAACATTTCTGTCTTCTGTTCGCCAGGAATTAAAAAAACATGTTCTCTTACACTACTTGATGATAACTCAAATTTAACATCCCATGGAACAACCCCAACTCAAAAATCATTAAGCAATTTTATAATTTTCACATTTAAGAAATTTTTAGTTGTATATTATTTAGAACAACTGCAATTATGTGTATCAACCTTATAAAAAGTACAGAAAATTACTGCATAGTACAATGAAATGGCAATATACAAGTTTAAGGCATAACAATAAAACAATATGTTTTCAATAAAACTTTCTAAGTAAATATCTAAATAATTCTAAGATTTTGTTTCATCATGATATCTGATGAGGAAACAGGGTAAAATGGGTCAAATTGGTGGTGACAGAAAGAAATCTAACTGTGGGAGTTGAACACACAATGCAATATATATGCTGCCTCATTGTTAAATTGAACATGTGAAACTTACTGGATTTTGTTAACCAATGTCACCATAAAAAAAAAGTCATGAGATCTGTAAATGTTAGTAACATAAAATCTAATCAACATTATAAAAGGAAAAAAACTTTTATTTTAGTTACTGCCTGGCTCAAGGAAGTCTATAAGGTTTTGCTCCTCATTGAAAAGCCAGGTCAATTTTATTCTGGCTTATCTTCATCTAACAAATTTAACTTTACTTAATGATTTCTGTTACTTCAAAAAGAGAACACCACAACGATCTAAAAAGAAAATGTAAAGTGACTGGATTTAACATAATCACCAATTCATTTATTCAGCATATATTTCGTCAGGGCCTACTAAGTGCCACTAGAGAAAAATCAATGAACAAAACAGAAAAAAAAAAATCATTGCCCCCATATATTCTCATAGCTACTGATATATTCAATAAGGTGGTACAGATTCACATTCCTCAGCTCTTTAGTTCACACTGCTCCCTCTAATTGACTCTACTCCATCTTCTCTGATGAGAGAAATACCTCATCCTTCAAGGCTCAATCTCTGAAATTTTCCCTGAACTCTTTATGCTCCCACATTATTCTTACTTTACTACAACTCATAGCTATTCAGTGTGCACAGTATCTAGACCAGCAGCTTATTTATATTTATATACACCCAGTACATATTTAATAAAATACAGCAGACTCCACCGAACAAGACATAAGCAAACAAAATTACTTTTCAAAAATACCATTGAATTATATGCTTTTAATTATTGTTTCAGTCCTATCTTTATCACTTTAGAATGTGAACTTTAAATAAAAGGCCTAAAAACTGTTCTCTACATAAAAGAAATGAAAATCTTAAAACCTTACCACTAAATGTGCTGAACTTCTATCTTAAGAAAGTGGAAAATGAGTAGCTAATAAAGAACCAAAAACTCACTTGGACATATGTATATACTCTACTATAGAGAACAGTGGTTTGCATATTGTTTTCCACAGACCCTTAGTTCAAATGAACTGAATAAGAAGAGAAGCAGAAATAAACAGATGAACAGGCAGTTTCTCCCAAGTCCCTGAAAACAGAGCAGTTCCAGTTTCATCTGTCATATATCTAGAACCACAATTTGAAAAAGGATTTCACTGCTTAGTTTTTTTTTCCTTACCTACTTAGAACGCTTTATATCCCATTAAAGTAAAAACAATCTTAAAACAACTGATCCTATGTATAGATTACTATTCTTCCAAAATCTCTGGAAAATAGGGTATTTGATTCACCCTAATTAATACTTTTATCCGCCAAAAGTAAACAAATATTGAACTGGACAGTCCTTACCCCAAACATAGCTGTTCACTAAATTCCACTTATCTCCATAAGAACCACAATTCAGGCTCTCATTAACTCTCCACTAGATGACAGAATGATGACCAGAACAGTCTCAATGTCTTCAAGACTTTATCCACTCTAATTCAACCTGCACTAAGCTATGATGCTTTCTTTTTAACACACATTTTCTCTCCCCTCATGTCTCAAGTCAAAAAACTTTGATGGTTTCTCATTGCATTATAAAATCCCAACTCTATCAAATTCATCTGTGCCTGATTTTGGCCCCAAGCAGCTTCTTGGGGGCTATCTGTCATTATATGTTCTCCAGCACATCATCCATACATTCTATTCACACTCATTTGCTCTATAAATCCTAAATACCCCATATTCCTTCATATCTGTGTATATCTGTATACCTCTGTTTAAGTCAACTTACATCCTCGTCCATCTTTCAAAGCTCAGCACAAATCTTACCTTCTCTAAAGACATTTCCCAAATGGAGCCTTACTGTTGAATATTCCCAAGTCATCTGGTATGTCCTTTATGAGGCTCTTCCTAGAGATGACATTTTATAATGCTAACAACCTAGTTCTGGAACTAAGTACAACAGTTCTCATTAAGACAGAATGTGCATGGAGGGCTACAATGCCAGATTACAGTAATTTCAAGTTACTAAACTGAAAGTAAAATAAGACAAAAAAAGCAAGTGTATCAATAAGCAATTCATCTAAAATAAAAAACTACTTACCTTTGCTACTAAAATGTATAATATTCCCAACTACACTTCTTGGAACAAAGCATAAAATAATAACAACAACAACAACAATGAAAGCAGATACTTACATAGAGTTTCCTGTATGCCAGGCATTGTTTTAAGCACTTTACATTTATTAACTAGATTAAGCCTCATGACAACCCTGTAGAGTAGATGCTATCGTTATTCCTGATTTTACAGATGCAGAGATGAAGTAACTTGCTCAACTTCATGCAGCTGGTTAGTGGCAGAGATGGGATTCAAACTCAGGCAGTCCAGTTCCAGAATCCAGGCCCTCAAACTACTACTACCCTTACACTGTTTTTCAAAGAGCTTTGGGTGTCAAGTAGAAAGTGGATCCCAATCATCATGTTAGAAGAGTTTTTTCTTCCCTACAACTGTCACGAAAATATGAGATTCCTTTCCACAGCATATGTTCTAAAAGACACGGTTCAATTCTGCTATAATCATCATACGGGGTCACTCTTGATTTTCTATAATGAATAAATTGTCTTTACCTTGTAATCCACTTTTATCCAAAAAATTGCTCAAGTTAAACAACGTGTTTCTTGAAGCCAAATACTGAATAAAACGCTGGAAAAAAAAATAATTATGTCAAATTAAGGTACCATCATCTAACAAACTAATTTCAGAATTAGTGGGAAATGTTGTGGTTAACACATTCCGTTAAGCTTATCTAGTTTAAATTTCTCATCCTCGGTCCGCTTTACTAGTTACCAAACCTAAAAATGTATTTTTCACTAGCTTATGAGAATTTATTAAAACCTAATGCCCACAGCTATAGTATTAAAGTCAAAATAAAAAGAAATACGCACTTTCAAACTGAACACAGTAATTCTGCCTTTACTGCAGCATATTAGGACATGTTAGTCATACTAGTCATACTCGGGTGGCATCTGACTTTAAAAAAAATACTTATAATCATACACAAGAACATTACAGACATCCTCTTACCCACAGCCCAGATTAAACACATTACCATGTTTACTTTAGATCTTACAGAATCAAAACATTATACACTTTACTGAAGACACAACACCTTCAATCTCTCTCTCCCCCTCCCTCTTCAGAGGCAATCACTTTCTGAAGTAGGTCTATATCGCTCCCACGTTTTTATAATTTTACTACTAATTTAAGTATTTATAAACGGTATATAATTTTTCTATTTTAAATTTACAGAAATGTCATGCTGTACTTATTCTTTTCCAATGTGCTTTTAAACAACTTTTTCCCAAGAATTATTTAATATATATAGATCTAGTTCATTCAATTAAAATGGTGTTCTAGCATTTCAATGAACTATAATATAGTGTATCAACTTCTTTATGGATATTTAAGTTCTTTCCAATTTCACTATTATTAACAATGTTTAATTGACATCTGTACTCTGTCTCCATATTCAAACACACAAGAGTTTCTCATACTCTACATTTAAGATTGAATTGTCGGGTCAAATGTATATAGAAGTTTATCTTTTCAAAATACTGTCAAAACACTCTCCAAAGTGCTTGCCTTAGAACACTATCTTTACTTCCCTTTACATACAACCTCTAAAACAGAGAGCTAAGGAAACCCCTTTCAATTGCACTTTTTTTTCAAGTATGCATAAGGTTACTACCAATTAGGATGTACACTACCATTCCCCTGACCAAATCTTGTTGATCTGAAATCACCCTAAACTAACAAACCAGGATTTTTAAAAACTATTTGTAAATCAAAGACTCACCTTTCATTATTTATCCTAAAACAATCTGTTCAAAAAGACAATATTAGACTTTGATTTTCTTAGTTTTGATAATTCTTTGGTGTGGGGGCCTGTCCTGTACATTGTAACATGTTTAGAAGCATCCCTGGCCTCTACCTACTAGGTGCCAGTAGCATTCTCTCAAGTTGTGACAAATGTCCCCTGGAGTGTGTATGTGTAGTGTGTATGGAGGGATCACTTTCCTCCCCTGCTCCATTTGAGAACCACTATTCTATGGTATTGCCATCACCACAACACAGTGAAATCCTATGCATACTTTCTCAGAGAATAGTAACAACTGTCAATGCAAAAACCTGAGAGTTACATAAACTAACAGAATGAGCAGAGCACTGGATTTGTTTTAAGCTGCTTAAGGGAAACCAAACACGAATTTATCTAAAAATTACAATGAAATTCTATTTTTCTTCTCCTGTCAAGGAATGGCAGTAAACTTCCTGTTTCCTTGCCTTTATCCAGGTTTTGTTTCTATTATTATTACCATATTTACAGCCTCTGAAAGCCACCATTTTTGCCTCTTCATCTGGCACTGTAGTTAGTTATATTTGTGGCTTTTTCTTTTTAAATAAACTACAGGTGAACAACATGGGGATTAGGGGTGCCAGCCCCACACACAGTAAAAAGTCCACATATAACTTTTGGCTACCTCAAAACTTAAATACTAATAGCCTACTATTGACTGGAAGCCTTACCAATAACATAAACAATCACATAACACTATTTTGTATGTTATATGTATCATACACTGATTCTTAAAGTAAAACAGAGAAAACTCAATGTTATTTAAAAAAATCATAAGGAAAATGTTTACAGTATTTATTGAAAAAAAAATTCACGTATGAGCGGACTCACGAAGTACAAGCCCATTTTGTTCAAGGGTCAACTATACATTTTTTTAAAAAAGTGAAAAATACATATAAGCCTGATATTTTTTGGAATAAATGATCATGATCTGAAATAAACACATTTTTGATAAAAGTAGAAATACTTATCCTAATTAAGATCAAAATATTTCAAGTTATATCGAAACTAGTATATCCAAACATTTCTGTTGGCTCTGTATACTGATTATAATGAATTAGCAACCAACTGTATAAAATATGTCCTAAATATGGTCATGCCTTTTGCTTAAGTAATTATATTTCAGGTAACGCTTCTAGAAATAATTTTTAAAACTTGAAAACTACAAATAAAATCATTCGATGTGGTTCTGTGACACAATAATTAGAAAACTAAATTTTCAGTATGGAGAATGGTTTAAAAAGTCATGGAATATATGAACAGTTATATAATAACTAAAGATGATAAATAAAAAGAATATAAAACATGGAGATGCTTATGGTGTGATTCATTAAGAAGCTAAATATTTTACTGAAATTACGATAATAGCTATAAAAAATACTTATGGACAAGGACCAAAAGGGAACACCAAAATGTGCAAACAGATCTTGTTGCATGCAATGATAAAGTTGTGAGTAAATTCCTGTTTTAATTCTGAACTTTAATGATGCTCTGTTGGTATGTGTCAAAGGTAACAGAAGAGTTTCATGACTGAAAAGCCCAAAATAATGAGTAAAGTAAAAGACGAATGTCAGAAAGTCATTATGCCCAAAAGACTAATGGCAGTGACTAAAGTCCTTCCTAATCTCTATGGGAGCTATCTCCCAGCAACCAGTGGGCTACATTTTTCTAAGGCACATACCAGTGTAGAATTATCAAATTCCTTTCAATGTTCTTTTAATATAATTTTAAAAGTTCCTTTTAATATCATTTACAAGTATACTGGACAGAGAAAATTGTTTAAGGTAAAAATTCAGAAATGAGGTGCTAGGCTATCATGGAAAACAAGATGCTTCTCTCCAAACATTAAACTGCAGAAGCTTATGCACCTTATTTGTTCCCCTTTTGGGCAAAGAAGACTTCAGATACATCTCTCTACTAAAGAAAGGCATTCTTTAGTCAGTCCCTGTAGCCATTATACCCTTGAATAAGGCAAAGTGCTTCCACAGACAACTATATGAGATCAGAAAGAACTCTGGTTGGTCTATAGTAAAAACTGGATATAGACAAACATACAGTCCATATTCAAAACCTGCAAAACCCAGGGCTGCTTACAGAACCCACCTCTAGGCATTAATCTTTGCTTCTCGATCCCATTATTGAAGCCTTCTGTGCTCTACCCCACTTTCTGTTTTCTGGTTTACAGGCTATCTTTACTCAAATTCTACAGTCTACAATTATATTTCTCCCAAGGCACCTTGTCCTTTTTAACTATATGACTCAACTGTTGATGCCATTCCTGAAGTCTCAGGGGCAGAAGCTGGGATAATCAGTTAACACACCAGTCAAACATACACTTGTTAACCAAAATTTCTGCTTACCTCATTTCCATACACCATCAAATGATGAGTTGTAATGAGAGATTTGAATACCACCACCCAACTACTGTTAGTAGTTCTTTCAAATAAACTGTCTGCCAACTGTGGGATGTTCACGTTCATCTCATTTGTGCACTGAATTAAGTCTGCAATAAAGAAAAAGATTAAATTACTCTCTGGCTTTAATTCATTCTTAATCCCAGATTTGTATACTAATAGACGAAAGATCTAACAGTGGAACAACAGGTAGTATGAAGAAGTTGTTTAAAATCTCTCATAACAACCCCTGAGACTACTATGACCTACCTGAGAAGTAAACAGGGTGTTGATTAGGATCACATAAATGATCAATAACACCAGAAAGTAAATCGAACTCCCTCAAGGAGTAACTGATCCTCAAGTATTTTTTTTACTCTAAGCCTTCAGAATTACAACTCGTACTATCCACCCCTACCTTTTAAAAAACTTTTAAAAAAATCATACCTATGGAAGCATGAACAAGCTGAAGGTCAAACTACCTTTATTAACATCTCTCCTGGAATGCTGTGTTTGCACTAATAGGAAGATAATAGATATGTGATATCTGAGAGAGTGGGATCTCAGTTTGTTTATTTAAAATAATTCTCATTCTTTCCTCCCTTTAGTCTTACTGAGTTATCTTGAATATCAGTTGATAGCGACTAGCTGACATTGAAAAACAAAACTGAAAATGGACAGGTTTCTTACTGCAATAAATTTCAGGTTTCTTACTGTAATAAATTTCCAAATAAGAAATGATGCAGAAACTATTCAATATCACCCTGAAAAAGTTAAAAGAATATAAGTTCCGATTTTATATTTCAATCTGGAAAGAATTACAATAAAATAGTCTAATATACAATTGTTTTAGCACCAAAACTAAAAAAAAAAGCTCTTAAATAGACCACAAAGTTTCACCTCCAATCTGCTTAAGAGATTATTATTGGCAAATTCAAAGAAAATACAAAATATAGTCCAATTAGAGAACAGAGAAGAAAATCAAGAAATGAGTTGTTTTATTTTCAAAATACGTATAAAACAAGTACAAATATCTTAGTTGTAACTACCATAAAAGGAAAAATATTAAAGTTATTCATGACTCATTAGCAGTTTGTCCAGTTTTAATCTTTAGTTCATAATGATTAAATATGAATTCAAGTGACCTAATTTGGCCTTGATTGCTACCAAGAAACATTAATGTAACTATGACCATTTACCTGCTTATAATCTTTCAAAATGTTTAATAGTTCCAATTATTATACAAAGTAATAGTTGATAAACAAACGTATATTTTAGATAAGTAGTTACCCTTGCCAACAATGCTTAAAGAACAAAGCACAATAGTGCCTATGGACAGAAGAATGACACAAGGCTTTCATAATTCAGACTACTTGCAATAAAAATTAAATAGTACATTCAACTTGCTGTGTGTAGTCAGCTTCTGATAGTAAAAAGTAGAGTTTGACCTCTGCCATCTCTGAATTTTCTTAAATGGTATTTTACACCTGTCCTATGGCACTGAATATATTCTTCTTGTCCCAAAGCTAAGCCTTCTCTGTCTCTGAAAAATACACTGAGGCAAGGCCTATCTTTTGCTTATTTTGAATACTATATAACTTCAAGCACAGTGGTCAAATTCCAAATTTAAGTTAAATTCCCAGCTTTTTCTGTATTTATTTTTATGTATTTATGTATCCTTCCAGAAACTGTCTTGATAAGCCATTTAATTCTTAGTTACTTCCTCACAATGGCATCAATATTCATTTTACTCCGCAGAATCTTATTTTAATTTTCAAAATTGAACCTGTCACAAAATTTCTTGTCACAATACTGCCCCAAAAGTACTCCTACCTCTGTGCGTGTTTACATACACTCCCTAAAGCCAATCAGTAACCAAGTCTCCCAAACCTCCAATAATCCTACTTTCTCCTCTCCATTCCACTATCACTGTCAATGACAGAGTTCAGACCCTATTTATTTCTTAACTAAGGAGTACCACCATGCCTGAGAACATTCGAAAATTGGGAAGGGAGGTTATGACACTCTCTGAGGGGTTTTATCGGCATTTAATATCAAGGATGAGGGAGAGTAACTGCCCTGCAAAGCAGTCATCACTCCACAATTAAACAACTGCCCCATCCCAAAGTGTCCCCACTGAAAAATGTTGGAATGACTGACCTCTTCGTTTTTTAAGGACACCTGATTTGGGGTCTCAACCACCCAATACCCCTAAACATTCTCTAAACTAGCCACAGAATGATCTGCAACACAACAATCATCGCCTAAGTTCAATCACGTCCCCTCTGCTAAAGGATGGCATATATTTTGTCCTTGATAACGTCCTCCTTCTTGAATTTTAGTTTTTAACACAAAATCACTACCATGCTGTTTTACACCAGAATATTTCCATTCTTGCTCATTCTTCACAATGAATGAAGTCTTTCCCTTCACAGAAGGTACCCTCCACACAGTTACTAAGCTAGCACATAATTCTACATTACAGAATTATTTTAGACTATAATTATTTACTTCCAAATCATTCTTTTCTACTAGATCAGGAGACCTTAAAAGGAGCCTGCAAACATTTTTGTTAGCATTTTCCATACTATTCATCATGGAGGTTAAGTAAATGGCTTGATTAGTCAGATAAAGTCTAATTTTAACTGAAGACAAAGGTATAGATTTCATTTTCAAGTAATTTATATATTAGAATATATAAAATCTATGCAATATTTTCTTTGTGATAAGCTCTCCCCCTACATCCCTTTGCTTGTTACACTGATGTCTCCTTTGAAATGCCTCCCATTATCCAAGTACTCTTACCTCAAATGCGCAGCACTTGCTGTTCTTTCTGACTAGAATACTCTTCTCCCTGATATCTATATTTCTTGCTCCTTCGCTTTATTCCTATAAATCTTTGCTTAACTATCATCTTATCAGATGAACATCTCTGAATTTTTATAAAAAATATCAATGACTTAGGGCACTCTTCTATCTCCAAACCCTTACTATACCCTCTTACTGGCCTTATTTTATTTCCCTCCAAAGCATTTATCACCTAACGCATTTTGTTTAAAGTCTTTTCTCTCCCAATTAAAATATAAGTTCTATGCGGGCGGGTCTCTGTTGTTTTCTGCTGTATCCCCAAAGGCCTAGACTGGTGCCTCCCATATAGTGGTCACTCTTACTTTTTGAATACATTCATTTCAGTGTGCATACAGTCCTAACATGACTTTTTTAAAAAGCATCCAAAATAGTAATTTTTACATAGACTAAATCAACAATCTAAAACTATCTGCACAACCTGCTCTTCCCAAAAGGTTGAAAAACAAACCTGAGCCCATTACATGTGAAAATTTTCAAATTTCAAGTTAAAGGAGACCTAACGAATATTTTTATTTTCATATTTATGAAAACTCTAGAATGCTTTAGAAATGACTACATAAAAACTGAAGAATAATTCCAGAAGCTAAAATATAACACTTCAGACTTAACAGGAAAAATAAGAGTTCATGCTCAGATTATGAATCCAGAGTAGACCAAATACGAAACCAGTTATATGAATATTACTGGAAGAAAAAAATACTGAATCCTTACACAAACTCTACAGAACATACTTCTCCATAGAATTTTAACTCAACCAGTCATTTTCTCCATGCAGTAATTTGTTCTCCACACAATGTTTCTTCTATAGCAGTAACTTGAAAAAGCTTCCAAGTCCGAGCTCCAACAACACAGGAAGGAAATGTTTTCCTCACCTTTGACTAACCAAAAGTGAATAGTTCCAAACAAAAGTCAATCTTGATAGCTACTGCTTTTTCCATTCACAATCCAGGAGACTTCATTTCTTAAAAAGTACAAACTTGGTATTACATTTCTCTTACCAATCAAAAGGGTTCCAAGGTAGAAACACATATTTTTTAGTTATTTACCTTAAGAATAAAAAACCTCCTTAAAAGTTCCATTATTAACAATTTCTGAATGTCTCAAAAAAAAAAAAAATAAGCTACTACATGGCATGTAGGCTCTTTGCTTTAGGTATAGGTGAGAATTCATGAGGATTTTCAGTATTTAAGGGCAGGAAGAAAATAGGCCTACCATGGAAATGAAGAGCATTGTTCCAGATGGTAAGAGGAACCAACTGCTACTATACAAAATGCTATCAATTTTATTTTTTATATGCCAAGCCAACAAACAATGTTTAGGGTTGATAAAGTAAATGTTAACTGTATTAACACAGGTTAAGGAACTTGCCCCACAGATAAAGTCAAAGGTGCTCACTACTAAGTGACAGATTAATAGAATAAGATTTTTGCAAAAGACAAGGGTGACTGGAAACATATATATAAACTGAACACCCAACTAACCAATGTAATGCAAGTTCTAATTTTCTTTTCATGGAAATCCTAAATTCCTAACTTAAAACAAAAACAGTATGAATAGTAGCAAAATGTAAAACAGCATTTTTATATTCAGAGAAAAATGTTCAGCAAAGTACAGAAAATTTAGAAGTAACCAGTTACCGGACCATTTCCTTAATCTTACAGCCAAACTCTTCGTGCGGCCCCAAAGCTCATCTATATAGAGCTCCCCAGACAGAGTTCACCAATCTTAGAAACTTAGGGTACTTAGGGTTTAATTCCACAGAAAATCAGGCAACCCAGCCAGTGGCATGTACCACTAGCAAAAATGTAGAGGTCTCAAGTTCCCATCCAAATAGGCACTCCCCAGGCTGTATCAAAACTATTCTAATACCCAAGTAAAATTTTCTAATAAATAAGGTTGCTAAAAATAAGGTTTTTTTTTTTTTTTTTGAAGTATCATAATAATTTAGCCAAATTACTACTGTCTCTTTCAAAGGAGTCACTTTAAATGATACTCTTTGCAACTGACTTCAGAATCAATTTTGGTAACATAAGACTGATTTCTTCAGTCATCTAGAAAATTAGAGATACATTCACTTTGGAAGGCAATTTAAGTGGTTTATTAAATGTTGCTTCACTGATCAGATCTTTGAAATTTTTCCTGGGTAGGAGTACAAATGAAAGGAACAAGTATTTACCAAGAAAAAGTAACTAGAGAATAAGAAAATCATTTCTGAACTTTTGATATAAAGGATCAGCAATAT